TCTGCACGGAAGGCGCAAAGGCGGTCCGCTTAAGGTTTTCCACGACTTGCGTGCGGATCTTGTCGAGGTACTCCTTCGTGTTGGCATTGTCCATGTTGGACGGACGTACATCCAGCTCGTAGTCAGGTGCGAAGTACTAAGTCTGTTAGCTGTGTATAGTCATCACCTAGAAACAAGAACCTACCTCGTAGTAATCGTTGTATGGAAGCTCTGCCCCAAGGGTGTCACCAACGAGAATACCGGTTTCGAAGGCCCAAGTACGTGCCACATTTCGCATCGTATAACCACCACCGCCAAGAATCATGGTGGGCAGGTTAAAGCTCTTCACAAAGTTCACACAGTTCGCGTGGCCCCGCATACTGAGGTTGAAGCATCCGAGACGGTCGCCCGAAAGACTGTCGCCACCACACTGCAAGACCACAGCTTCGGGTCGGTACCATTCCATAACGCTCTTAATAACGGGCTCAAAGATGCTCTTGTAGGAGATGTCATCAATGCCATCGCGGAGAGGGAAGTTGACGGCATAGTGCTTGCCCTGACCCACTCCGATATCGCGCAGCTCACCCGTACCTGGGAAGTACTCGCCGTACTTGTGGAAGGACACCGTCATCACACGGTCGGTCGTGTAGAATGCCTCCTCAACACCATCTCCGTGGTGGACATCGATATCAACGTAAAGCACGCGCTGCTTGAATCGCAGCAGCTCCAGGATACCCAAAACGATGTCTGTGTTGCGTCAGCGAAGGCTCAGCATAGCGTATCGCGAAACTTACCATTTACATAACAGAATCCACTTGCTTCACTTTTCTTCGCGTGGTGAAGACCACCGGCCCAGTTAACGGCAATGTCGCACTTGTTGCGGTTGAGCCGGGCGGCACCCTCCATACTACCACCCGCGCTGATACCGCAAAACTCGAAGAGCCCATCGAAAACGGGACAATCGTCTCCGACATTGTACTTGCTCTGCTCCTTCGCGAAGGAGTCCATGTTGTCCGGTGTAACCTTCGAAAGGAAGTCGATGTACTCATCCGTGTGGAACTGGGTCATTTCGTATTTCGAGGCCGGCTTCGCCCGCTGTAGACTGCGTCAGCGCTACTTTCAAAAGACGTTGCAGAGATCCTGTAACAGAGCCAATAATAACCATCCATAATCACTCACGTATATCTCCATCTTCTTGTAAAGGCCATAGTTCATGACCAAACTGTGAGCCATCCTTATGCGATGAGGCTTCATCGGGTGTCCCGAGACATAGGCATAGTTTCCCACATCGGAATCGTAGAAATAGGCGACTTTCTTATTGCGATCCGCCGACCCATTGGTAATGGGGTCCAGAGGTGCGAGTGAGTTACTCATGTCGAAGGTCACTGTGCGAAGCACACGGCGATTCCTCACTCAGACCAATGCGTAGGAATGTCGCTTGAGCGCGGTGAATTCTCGGGGGGTTGTATGAGAGCGTCAGATGGAGAGAAAAGAGGCAGATGACACTCAGGTAGACAAGAAATATAATGAATAGGACAGATAAAGTACCCTATACGTGAGTCAGTCGAATAACTCTCACAGAGTGGCACTAATGGAGTACATTAGCAATGGCCGGGGGCGGACAATAAGTGATGGAGACCGAAAGGAAGCGAAGGGAGACGCAAAGGCGGAACCCCAAGCTGCTCCACCGCCTTCGTCAGGCTTCTTGGGAAGCTCGACCGTCACTACTTACACACGCCCCAGTTGCGCCTCCATCACCACCTGCTTCCCATCTTCAGCTTTTGTCTAACCTCGCTTACTGTTCCATCGGAACCGGCTCGAGCATCCCCTTTGCCTATACAACATCTGAGCTTTTCCAATCACCGAATTTGCTCTGATATCCCCACTCAACCTTCCGATTGGAGCTTCCGCGTAGGAAGTCATCCTGGTCTCATCTACATAACTAACACTCAACCAACCCCCCGTCTCCACTATGGATCGTTTGCATCGCATGCTCCAAGCAGCCCAGGGTATGGGCGTTGGAGGGAATAATGGAGTGAGTAACACTTAGGCGAGCAGCGGACATGGCACTCGGATCTCCAGAGCGTTTGGGGCTATGGGCTAATGCAGGTACAGGATATCCCCAACCTCATCGATAACTCCGAAACCGTCCACATCTCATCGCTCGCTCTGCTGAAGATGCTAAGACACGGTCGGGCTGGTGTGCCCATGGAAGTCATGGGTCTGATGCTGGGAGAGTTTGTGGACGAATACACAGTTAGGGTAGTTGACGTTTTCGCCATGCCTCAAAGTGGTACTGGTGTCAGTGTCGAAGCCGTGGACCCTGTTTTCCAAACGAAGATGATGGACATGCTGAGGCAAACTGGACGGTAAGCTCCAAAAGTATCTCACGAACTACCCGGCTTATCCTAACGCATCCTGCTATAGACCAGAGACCGTTGTTGGCTGGTACCACTCGCATCCTGGTTTCGGCTGCTGGCTTTCGTCCGTCGATATCAACACTCAGCAATCCTTTGAACAGCTCACTCCCCGCGCCGTTGCCGTGGTCGTCGACCCCATCCAGTCCGTCAAGGGCAAGGTCGTCATTGATGCCTTCCGTCTCATCCAACCACAGACCGTCGTCATGGGCCAGGAGCCCCGCCAAACAACATCCAACTTGGGTCATCTGAACAAACCGTCCATTCAGGCCCTCATCCACGGCCTCAACCGCCACTACTACAGCATTGCCATCGACTACCGCAAGACCGGTCTCGAGGAGAACATGCTGATGAACTTGCACAAGCACGTCTGGACGGAGGCGCTGCAGATGAAGGACTTCCATGAAGAGGGCGAGCACAATGTTGAGCGCATGAAGCAGCTCGTCAGCCTTGCCGAGGGCTACGAGAAGCGCGTCAAGGAGGAGACCACGCTCACCAAGGACCAGCTTAAGACGAGATACGTCGGCAAGGTCGACCCCAAGAAGCGTAAGTTTCTCGCTTGCACGTTGTGTTATATTGTTACTGATTGGATTATCTGCAGACATCGAAGATGTGAGCCAGCAGTTGATTGAGGACAACATCGTAGCCGTCTCGCGGCAGATGATTGACAAGGAGGCCTCGGTGGCACGGCAATCAAACGGCAAGGAGAATGGCACCGGCATGGAGGTTGATGAGGAACTATAGAGCAACCATACCGTAACATATATTTCCTAATGCCATTTCAGACTCCCTGAACTCAGGTTTCATGTACAGGACGGTCATCTGGTCTTGGCAGACACATCAATGAATGACGTTATATGTATCAACCCGGTATATATTCACCAGTAGTGACAACACCAAGTGATTTGAACCAAATAACAACAAAAAGTGTGCACTTTATTGTCTAAAGAATCTATGTATAAGTATATGTGCATCTAATATAAGCAATCCCAGTGAAAGCAACCGATCTAAACTCCCGCAAGGCCGCAATATCATATCATGCCAAATGAAGACCCAAACCCATCACGTCATGATCACATCTCAATAATCGAGGTACGGATTAAACAATGGAAGTGGCGGCGGCGGCAGGCCATGCAACCTGGCGAATTCCTGCGCCTCCTCTAATTCCTTCTTCCGACGAGCCTTTTCCTGCATTTTCTTCTCATGCGCGATAACCCCATACGCATCTTCACTGAACTCCTCCCCATCATAATCCGTCCACCCCCGTTCGGGACCCCACGCAATCTTTATCCCGGCCGACCTGACCTCATGCATCAATCTCTTCATCAGAGCACCGCTCTTCCGTACAGATGGCCAGCCATCAAACTCCACGTATTCCAGATTCGGTAACCTCTCCAGGACACCCTTGAGCAGATCGCCCGCAAAATCCGTATAATAGTCCTTCGAGATGCGGAACCCCTCGAACACCGGATGCGATGGATCGACTTCAACAAAGACTTTGAACGTGCGCATCCGCTCCATCTCCTCGAGTCCCAGACTGCGTGTGATGGTCCATTCGCGCGGTGGCGCTGTCCAGCTCGATCCTAGGATTAACTCGACTGTGGCGATGGAGGGGCGGTACCGCGGGGGTATGGCCCGGATGGTTGGCATACGCGAGTAATCCTGGAGGTGGAAGAGACGAAATACTTGGGTAGAGTAGAAATAGTCTGAGGCTTCATCGTGCATGCGCCGGGAGGTCAGGAATAGCGCGACTCGGTGGGAGGTGGGGGAGATAGGAGGGTTTTTCTTCGACGAGGCGCCCACGCTGCCTGTTAGGCGCGGGTTGCGTCCGCGTTTCGGGGTGAAGAGCACGAAGTGATAGACGCGTAGACGGATCTCCGAGGGGAGGTCGAAGAAGCGGAAGGGTTCGATGGGGGCTTTCTTCGTACGTTGTTTCTTGATGGGCTTGCCTTTGACGGTTTTGCCAGTGGTGGATTTGTTGTCCAAACGGACTTTTTCCAGTGCTTGGGAGAGGGAGTTCATATTGGTCATTTTGTGTAGTGGTGGTGGGTTGAAGAGGCAAGAGAGGAAGAAAAAAACTGCGCTCAAACGGATCTAGATGGAAGAGAAGAAATATACGCCACGATACGAATGAGGATCTTTTAGAGAGTGAACTCCTCGGATGCTTGGAAACTGTTCTGATCTTTTCTTTTCTGAATCATCCCATTGTTGCATTGAGCTGGAAGTCGAGAATTAACGACATATACGACACGATATAGCATCCATCACTAATACTTATGAAGGACAAGAGGATATATCCCACCAACGGGGCTGCAGCTGCATGGGGTCCCTTCGCTGCGGCTCTTGGATGTGGGAATATTGGTCTCCCCAACCTAATTCAACCCGGCACGCATGGAGGAGAAAGGCCTGATGAGTCAAATTTATGAGCTGGGTTTCAACTTTCAAATTGTGAGAAAAAAAGAAGAAAGGAAAGGAAAGGAAAGCATCTCCGCGCCGGTATTTAAACTAATTTCCAGTACTGCACTGTTGGTCTGCGTGACCCCGCCCGACGGTCAGTGCGTGAACTTTTCTGTTTCCGCCGAAGACCGCCGGCATTGCTGGCCCCGATCATCCACTTGCTTCTTGATTCTTGATTGTTCTTCACTTCACCCCAACCGTGCTCTTTTTACCTTCCTTGGTGTCGGTGGTGATATCATTCCGGCGCGAGTATTCCTCATCTTCTCCCGCTCATCTATAGATGCCCTTTTCACTTTCATAATGCTTAGTCGTGCCGTACTGCCTCTGACGAGGCCGAACGTCCTCACCTCGACCGTTCGAGCTTCAACTATCTCCGTCGCCCACTCGCGTTGGTATGCGAAGTCCACCAAGCCCAAGACTCCCTACAAGCTTCCCGAATCCGTCAAGTCTGCCAAGTCGGAACAGTCGCCCAAGGCTCCCTCTCAGAACGACTACTCCGCGGAGCAGGCCGAATTCGATACCAAGGCTGAACCTGAACCGGCCACCGAAGCCGTGAGTTTGATGACGACGCTGGTAATCTCAACACACCTTCTGACACTTTTTATTCCCAGTCTCAGACCGGCTCTACAGCTCCCCAGAATGATGCTCCTCAAAAACCCCTGCCCGATCTCACCCAGGGCATTCCCTCCACCCTTGCCGCAGAATTGGAAGCCGCCTCGAAGAACCGCGGACCAAGCAAGCTGAACCTTACAGAGGACCCGTCGCGTGCGGAAGATTACGATGATGGTGGCCGTGACATTTCCAACTACGAATCCTCCCTCGATCGCAAGCGCGCTCGCATGGCCAACCTGATGTATGTCCTGTTCCTGCTGGCAGGTGCTGGTGGTGTGGCCTATCTGGGCCGCAACTGGGAGACCGAGGAGGAAGAGAAGGCCCACCCCGATGTGCCATCAGGTTGGGGCTTCGGACTCATGTACAACCGTGCCAAGGCCCGCTTGGGCGATATCACCAGCTACTACAAGGACCCTGCTTTCCCCAAGCTGCTGCCCGATGAGGATCCTAACATGCGTCAGCCTTACACCCTTGTGCTGAGTCTGGAGGACCTCCTGGTGCACAGCGAGTGGAGCCGTGAGCATGGATGGCGTGTGGCCAAGCGTCCTGGTGTCGACTACTTCCTCCGCTATCTCAACCAGTACTACGAACTTGTCCTCTTCACCAGCGTGCCCAGCATGATGGCTGATCAGGTTCTCCGGAAGCTTGACCCCTACCGCATTATCCGCTGGCCCTTGTTCCGTGAAGCCACCAAGTACAAGGACGGAGAGTACATCAAGGTATGTCACTGTTGGCTGTACCTTGCTCCCAGTCATGACTAACCCAGACAACTAGGACCTGTCCTACCTCAACCGCGACCTATCCAAGGTGATCTTGATCGACACCAAGGAGGAGCACGCCCGCCTGCAGCCCGAAAATGCCGTCATCCTTGAAAAGTGGCTTGGTGACTCCAAGGACAAGACCCTCGTCGGCATGATCCCCTTCCTCGAATACATCGCTGGTATGGGCGTCGAGGACGTTCGTCCCGTCATCAAGTCCTTCGAAGGCACCCAGATCCCCGTGGAATTCGCCAAGCGTGAGAAGGCCATGCGCGAGCGCTTCGAGAAGGAGCTCGCCGAGGAGCAGAAGAAGCGCCCCCGCAGCGGTCTGGGCAGCTTCGCCTCTGCCCTGGGCCTGAAGTCCACCCGCACCCTGGACGGCGAGCAGAGCCCCTCGGAGGGCTTGGCCCAAGGTAAGATGCTGTGGGACCAGATCCGTGAGCGTGGCCAGAAGAACTACGAGATGATTGAGAAGGAGATCCGTGAGAACGGCGAGAAGTGGCTGGCCGAGATGGCCGCGGAGGAGGAGAAGGCCCGCCAGGAGCAGATGGCCATGATGAAGGGCTCTTTCACCGGCATGTTCGGTGCTGGTCCTAAGCAGCAGTAGATGCTTTCTTGAGCGATGACGCGGTGGGGCGCATGAAGCGCTCGCCCGCAATGACCTTCTCTTCTCTCTTCCGCTGCTTACTTCCCATAAAAGAATTTTATTGGGCTATTTAATGTATATCCGAGATGCCATCTGCTCGATGGTCTCGGGAATGTGGGGTTCACATTAGAGGGGTTTTTCTTGTTCTTTTTTCGTTTCGTTGGCTCTTGCGCGATTCATCACGGGTTTTCGTCTCCGTTGTAAAATAGCATTTGGTTGTGTATTTGGTTTTGCGGTGTATAAATTGATAAATACTAATGAAGTCAAAAAGAACCTTCATTATCCTTGACTTGTGTCTTTTCTTTCAAGTTGTACAGCTATCGTATTTTTCTTTGGGGATATTAATCAGTAGATATAGTTATAAAAAATCGTTTGCGACTAAAACATGTAACATTTGTAGCTATTCCATGGTTAGTGAAACTAAATATAATATCCTTGTTGATGGTTACCAAATGGTAACATTGAGTCCTGGAATCGTATAAGAGTAGTGGTAGTGAGCACGTTTTCCATTACCAACACCCTCTCGGATTTACCAAGTATGCCATCAGGTCTACTAACGCTGAGCATGCACTAGGCAATGACTTTCATTCTAATCGTTGGCCTTGCTGGGTAGTTGTCGTCCAGAATCGAAGCTCTGGCTGCAATATGATGATGTACCAGATATATATTTTAGCATATAGTGCTGCTACCGAATAGTATAGAACTACTAGTGTAAGTAATTATATAATTATGGTAATTCAATGATTACTAGTAGCATTGCGAGTCTAACTCATTGCATATGGTCTATGGGCTAGTTGAAATAACTGTCAAGTTCAGTATGGTACTTTGTACTCGCACTAGTCAAGTTATCTACTTGTCCGACTTGGCTAGATCACAAGACCGAGGGACAGCATCGGATAGTTTGGGGCTGGGAGGGGAGAGGGGAAAAGAGAGGAAGCGCCGACAAGTGCATACTCATTGAAGAAATCATCCACACCGTCATTGAAGGCTGACAGGCCCAAGCAGGTATGCCTGGCTGGTGGCTTTGGTGATCTTTTTGCGTTTCTGGAAGCGCGCGCGATCGAAAAAAAGCCTTGGTATTACTCCGTAGAATCTGCCAAAACAACTTGTGGGGAGCATTTCAGTCACAGCTGAGTCAGTCAGGGCGACCAACCACGTGCCCCAGATTGATGTAATGGCCATCCGCGCAAGCACTAGTCCGCTTTGGGGAGAGGTCCCTCCTGCCAGGGCTTAGCGCGGTAAGATTGCATACATTGTTTCATACTTACAACTAGTACTATGTAGTAGTAGTGAACAATGCCTCTTAATACATCTCATACATACATACACTAGTTGGTTCTTGTGTTTCATTGTCAGGAACCCATTCCATTTCATCCACTCTCCTCCTCTTTTCTCCCTCCTCCTCATCCCACCTATTAACTATTCCCCATCCGATCTCATCTCTTCTTGGATTTCCTTCCCCCAAGTTCTTATAGACCTCTTGATGCTTCCCCGCTTCTGACCTATCGAGTTCCCCTTCCTCGGTCATTTGAAACCACCCCGTTTCAGAACCCCCATACGCATTGGAGCAGAAGATCCCCGGTGCATTATTGGCGTGCGGGTGAGGGACACAGCCACCGGCCTTGCTCGTTGGCGCTTCCCGCTTGCCCACCAGCGTGCTTCCTTCCGCGGTCTTTATTTCGCCCCCTATGTCCTCGAAAAATCATGCTGGGCTTGGATAATTGAACAACCCCCAGTGTCGTCTGCATTTGTTCTATCAAATGTAGACCCGCGTGGGTGAGATTCAAAACTAACTACTACTACCATCGACCATGGAGGAGGATGTCCGGTTGCCCACCTCAGAGCGGCTTGGCGGCCCCCATCTTGATCCCGATCAGTGTCCCTCGACCACCTGCTCCCTTAAGCTGCATCAGGAGCCCCCGAAAAGCACGCGACCGCGTCTGGAGAAGCAGACGTCGTCGCCGTTTGCTCGTTTGCCTCGTACCGTCATCGAGCAGTAAGTGCACCTCCGTCCCAGAGCCGGTGCATCGCGCGAGCGACAATCATGTGATTGATGATATCTGCTGCCTGTGCTCGGAAGGATCTTTGATTTAACTGGCGGCTTAGTATTCTATATGTTGCGGATGCCAACACATTTGCGTCGTTAACTCTGTTGAACCGGAAATGGCGACGCATATCGGACTCAACCCTTTTGTATGCGCATCATCTCTCTCAGTGCCCGTCCTTTGCCTTGACGCAGAAGGCTACTGAGCAGCCCGCTCACTCAAGCGATCTCACACTACTCAAGCGGCAGTTCGGCGCGCAGGTCAGGCGGAATACATTCAATGCGTTTCTCCGGCCCCGCAGGACTCTCATCAAGCTTACCTCGACTTCTATGAGCTCTTCGACGGCCTTTCCACAAGGTGAAGCATTCCGCTTTTCTTTCTCTCCTAATGCACAGCTTATCCTGTGCATCAGCTCTTCCAGAATTGTGGTACTTGATGTAACCTCGGATCGGGCGGTCGTGAAACATGAGCTCAAGACTTGGCGACGGCCTTTGAATGCTGCTATTGTAGATGATGGCTCCATTCTCGCCGTCGTTTCCTCCACTCACCGGGTCAATATCTACCGCCTTACCGATGATGAAGCGAAGCACATTCAAGACTTGACATTGAACGATGTTCCTCGGACTTTAGCACTCTCTCCGACAGGAGGAGTTCTTGCCATTGCGTACGATGATCGAATCGAAGTCTACGCCATCGGTGAAGGGGCACTAGCTACCGAACGAAGAGCTGTGCGCTGCTCCGGGGTTGACTCGGTGTCGTTCTCCTCTGATGGTGTCATGCTCCTAGGGACTTCCGCTGAGCGCGGTAACGGCGGTTTGGTCACTATAACAGTGCCGTTTTACACAGAATCAGAAACCGAGTATTCACCAAGGGATGCACAGATCCGTATGTGGACTACACAAATTCTGTTTCCAGACATAACCACTGGGTTTAGCCACGCCTGTTTGCTGCCCTGGCACGCAGAAGGTGAAGGCAACTGGCTACTGGGATTCGATGAACAAATCAACACGTTTCGAGCATTTGGGGTGCACAACACGAACTCGGGTACAACGTATTTCGTGACTCCGATGTCTGAGGATGGGTCTCGAGAGACAACTCCCATCATGCTACCCACCGTTGACGATCTCGGGGAGCTGGCTGCTATAGGATTTGAGAGTTCTGGCTTATGGGTATATGGGATACCTGATCGTCTGGATATTGCTCCTGTAGCTCCCAACGCAAGAACATATGCTGAAATGGATGTTGAGCAGGGCCCTTCGATCGAGGAGGCGGCTACTGCCCGGGATAGTCTGTCCCGACTCCAGCAGTCCATTACAAAGCCCAAGGTTCTGATCAATGGCCACAAGATGACCGACATGGCGGGAATGACAGCAGCTCGTTGGGTACGCCATCCAAACTGTGTGGCTGGTCGTCGTAGATTGGTAGCCGTTGCTCCTGGTGGCATTAGCCCTCCAACTATTGGCGAAGAAGACGTACCGGTAGATGGCGGACGTGTGCTGCTGTTAGACCTGGAACGATCTGTCACGGACGGTGACTCAACTGAAGTCAACATCGAAGTCGGTGATGCGGAGCCGAAGCTTCTAAGTGAACCGAACTCTACCCTAGATACCGAGGTCGAGCTGGAGAGGAGAAGGACGCGATTACATCGTGGGAATGCTGCTTCACCTCGAGCGCGCGCATTTGCTCGAGAGTCCTATCCTTCAGCCAATTCGGTCGTCCACGCACCTCGGCAATATGCCCGCAGAAACAGCTCCTTCTTCTCGGGCTCCTCGAATAGTGAAATCCAGCACATTCCGGAATCACCATATGATAACACACAGCCTCGATCTCGGGACACGTTGCGTCGTGCAGCCACGGCTGCGGCTAATGGTCGCGGACGCAACAACCCACGCTATCAGGACGAAGCGCGCCCTGTTCAAGGCCAAAGGCCAGCCACCCAGGTTTTCCAGGTTCCTCATGAGAGCGACGCAGACAATTGGGTTCCACCGCCACCTCCCTATTCTAGGGATCCCGACGCACCGCTACCAGATTATCTCCGAAGGACCCTCCTTCCTTCGAATACGGAACCGGCCCATAGAGTCGGTGATGTCCCAGAAGGCATTCAGAGACCTCAGACAAGCCGCTTGGAACGGATGGTTGACGAATCTCCGTCCCGGAGCTCGCTGCAAAGACTGCATACCATTACTGGCTCACGGCTCGCCGCTCGCATGAGAAGGGGCGTGAGAGACTCCGAGTCCCCTGAACCGAATAGACGACATACCATGTTCTTTCGCAGAAGGAGCTCTGCCACAGGACCCCAACCTAACCTCCAAGGGCTCGATGGAGCGCACATGCCTGTGCCAGAGCAAGACCCTGCGGTCAACTTCCAGGGTCAACTGCACCCTGTCCTCAGTGGGTCTACACAGCCGAATCAATCGTCAGCCGTTCAACGAGCAAATTACCAGGACGTTTTGCTTGAGGAGTCTTTGCTTGGCACTACAGACTGGCAGGAGGCTATGCCACCGACACAAAATGGGACTTTCAATCTGGACCATTACCCCTACTCCATCTCCTCGCCTAATCTTCAGGTCTCGACCTTTCAACATGATGCCCCCGAAGGTGTGCATGGGAGCCGACAACGTTCCACCTACTACCGAGGAGCAGATCGGCGCTCTCAATCTCAGAATGTCCGACTCCCGCCTGGGGGAATTCCACCGCTGAACCGCCGGGCATCGACAGACCCCACGCTATCTACCAGCTCACAAGCGGCTGCACATGATCTGTGGCGGAGGCGCATTGAAGAGTGGAACGAGCAGACCATCTATGAGAGAAGTAAACGCAGAAGCAAATGTATAGTGATGTAGGAAAGTTGCCTTAGGATACGGGGGTTAGACTGTTTAGGCTCTTGGCTCTGGAAATTTCTTGTTGTTTCTTAGCTCATATACCCGAGTGGACATATATAGGCTTTGTAGAGCTGTGCATAATAATCTTCTAAACCACATCTTCATGACCTTGCGCAGCTTTTACTTTCTGTCTAGATCAGGGGCAAGATGCATGCATCAATTTTTCCGCTCTTTTTTTTCTATTCTTTGGTTTCAGTTCAGCCAAGGATTATGACTGCTTTTTATCTTAGTGACTCTTAGACTAAGTCTAACCAGTCATTCCAGAGCAGTGATACCACATCAACGCAACCAGGGAAGACACCCAATTCCATGAAGCTTGAGTCCTCTACTGATAGTGAAACCTTGCATAAACACCACGAAAGACAGCAGAATTAGAACCACGACCCATCACAGTTTCTATAAATACCACAAAGCCAGATTAGTCCAAAAGGAGATTGTTGCCTTTCTGCGTCTCTCCTTCCACGCAAGGTCAAAGAAGAGTTTCCGTTCCTTGGTTGACTGACCCCCTTTGTGCTCATCTTCTTTCCCTAACCGTGCAACGATTTCAGGAACTATGTTGGTTTTGCTCTTCTCAATGTCTTTGTTCTCGACATCCTAAATATGCCGGCATATGGCTTCTACCTGCATACATTATTTTGCGCTATTATCCCTCCCTATCATTGATTTTGGCAGACTTACTCGGTAGCCACCATGCCCAACCCACACTCACGCTACAAACTTCGAGGAAGGAATCCCGTCGAAAAAGATGTCTTTGGAGGCCTGGATAAGTTCTTGAAAGAACAACGCAAGACTTCCCGGGTGAAAAAACCAGGAATAGGCGGAGAAGCAGGGAAGCCACGGAAAGGTAAACGAAAAGGTAAACAAGAAGCCTCGCCAGGGCCATCAACGACAAATTGGTTTAAAACCAAGATCCACCTCAAATTCATCAGAGACGCCCGAGAAGAATCAGTTCAACAGCCCGAGGAAGCCTCAGCAGAAGGTGCCGCCAACAATCCAGATAATCATCGCTCCACTGAGAGCGAGAAGGATCTCAAACCTGGGGAGTCTCTCTCTGACACACATTTCTATTACCAGCGGACTGGATCTCGCAGGCCCGATCGCCTGTTTGTTGCCACTGTCGAGGTAGATGAAGATGTGCCGGTGGAAAATTTATTTGATTCCAGATATTTGCCATCAGATGATGATACTGGTAAGTAAACTCTGCTGCGCTGGAAAGACGGAGCACTGATTGAGGTTGTGCGGTGGTTATAGAATATCAGAGGCTTGTGGATCTATGGCAAGACCCTGCAGTCGAAGATGCGCACGAGATCTCGGACTGGTCTGAGTTAGAAAAACTTGTAGATCCGAAGAAAGCCAGGTTCGCTCCCTTTTTCAGGGACGTTCATGATGACAGCTATCGTGAGAAAACAGCAAATATCTTATTCGACTATATGGCCTCGCTTTTTGAGCACGTACCAAGCCAAGGAGAAATGTGTGTCACCTTTTGACTTCCCGAATACTGTAGAGCCATGAGAAAGCTGATTATGTTCACCTACCCAGTGATTTTCGCCAGCATTGCTATTTTCCGTTGGCGCGCGAAGACTTGGGAACGCACCAGGGACTTTATTTCCGACACTACATTGGAAAAGGAAATTTCAATATCTCTGATGGTCAAGCAATTGGCATTCCTCTCGCTATTTGCACGGTGAGATTTCTCCCCCTTGTAAGCCGGTACCTGAAGCTAAACAACCTGCAGTGCAAAGTAGAGCTTGGACGAGCTGGCATCTCCCAGTCTGAGATCCCGGGACTTCTATTCCAAGCCAACATGGCCTTCGAGTTCGAAAGTAATCACGAGCAATATCCTGCATATGTCATCAGCGTGCGAGGTTGGAGATTTCGGTTCGTGAAAGGTATCATGGCCCGGCAGGAAGTTGCCCGGTTTCAAGACAAGAAAAAGCGATCAGGGAGGATCAAGGTGCAGCGGACCAGGGAGTACGATATCTATGACCGCGAGGAGCGCAAGGAGTTTATTCGAGTTATGCTAGGCTTGTTGCGATCATTCAAAGATCGACGCGAAGCGGACTTTTGTACTGAACTGCCCTGATTCGGTGGTGACGTACAACCAGTGATGGTGTATATGTGCGTGTGTACAAAATGCCGTTATCATTATCCTGTGGAACTATAGCGACTGAAATTAAGACGCTTGGGCAGATCTTGTTGATCATTGGTCTGATAGTTATAGTGTTGTTAGGCCTGCACTGGGTACTTATCAGGTTTCATTTCTGTTCAACGGGGCCTCGGAAAGCAGACAGGTTGCTTCACTTCCCACCAACCCAACATGATCGATCATCACGCAAACATGGGCAGCAAGCCAGCTCTACCGTTGAGCTAAGCAGTAAGCACTAACACAACCGAGGAATAGCCTAAATCTCATACAAGCATCGGATATGAGAAGAATGAACAACGACGACAGCGTAGAAAGCACACGCAAGCATGTCCGTTGTTCCCAAATCACCAACTCCTCCATAAGAAGTGGTGAAATAATGGACATACGGAGTAATGCTGGGATAATTAGGTGGAACATGAGTGGTCGAATTCATACCAGTTATCCGGCCTAGTTCCTGGTCCGTCGGACGTCCGAGCTTTAGGCTGGCGTCGGATAGGCTGCTATGATGATAGGGCCAAGGAGTGGGGCCAATAAAATGATCTAGTATATGAGCTTTCTGGAGACAGTTGATAGTCATACCATCGTCCCTTTCAACATCTCCTTCTCGAATGAAAGTGAGCAAGAATTTTCACTGTTCCTGCTGTACAACATCAACATCAAGGACAGGCGTATAGTTAGGGTTGAGAACAAGGACTCGGGATTACCTAATAAAAAGGGTTCAGGTGGGGCGGATCCTCCGATGGCCCGTGGTGACTAAGGCGCCACCGTTGCGCCCCTGCTATCATCACGTGCTTTTTTTTTTTTCGGGCGAGACCACGTGAGAGCGAGATCGGACAGCTTCTCCTCGCTCGCAGTCCGTTTCCCCCGCGCTGGATTGATTCCATCCCAATCTCAGTAAGAAAGGGTCTGGATCCCTCCATTCGTCTCCTCCTCGAAAGGATCTGCACGCACAAACAGCGCGCCTTGACATAACCTCACCCATTTCGGTGATTATTTGTTTTACACTTCCCCGACTCTCTCTCCGAAGTGCTTTTTCCCTCACGTGGCCAAAAGGCTCGTGCCCAGCCAATTTCCCCGGCAGACCCCCGAATATTCTTTTCTTTTTCTTATTTGGTGTTATAATACCACATCCTATCTCGGCCCTCTTACTACCTTCCCTACTATCAGCCTGGAGTCTTCCGAACGATCGCCCAGCGTAATCGGAGGCAGGGGCCTGCAGGGTGCCATCCTGGAGCCACTCGCAGGAGAGAATGCTTCTGCTGCCCCCAGTCCCGTAATGGGAGGTGCCAGCCATCCATCTGTCTCCCCTGCTGTTGGGTCTGATGCTGCGGGTCCAGCCAGGAAGCGCACCACCGCCATGGCGGGGTTGGACAGCTCCCCGGGCAGTATTGATGATATCGACGGGCAGGATAATCAGGAAGAGAAGAAGAGACAGCCTGTGAAACGGGCCTGTAATGAATGTCGTCAACAAAAGGTAAGCTCACGCCACTTAGGGTTTCTTTCCCTCCGAGACATGTGGCTTATCTGAATTGTTGTTAACCTTCTTTCATTTCATACAGCTCCGATGTGATGTAATTCAAGACCCGTGGACGGATTGCTCTCGATGTCGTCGTCTGAAGCTCGACTGTAAAATCGAATCCAACTTCAAACGGGTTGGGAAACGCAGTCGCAACGCCGAGATGGAACGCGAGATCATCGAGCTGAGAAAGCAGATTGCTACTGTGCAGGCTGGAGCTATACCTCCGTCACAGTCGGCGTCTTTGCCACCGGTTCAGACTCCCAAGCAAGAAACGGCCAGTCAGGTTGGCTCGGGAGTCTACCATACGCCGTCGGCCATGTCTACGGATCAGTATATGGGGTCTCATGAAGCTGTTGCGTCGCTTCTGGATTTGCGCTCTGGCTTTGATGGCACGAACTTTATGAGGAACGGCAATCATCACTTCAAGCGCATTGAAGATGTCGCGGTCGTTCCGGAGAGGGTGACAGAGCTGTTTCATCTGTAAGGCTTGAGCAGACTGTACTGTTCACAGGTCAATGCTAATGCTGTTAGGTTTTTCACCTTCTACCATCCTTTTCTACCGTTTCTTGATCGAGACCAGTCGCCTGATGATTACTACAGCGCATCGCCACTGCTGTTCTGGACCATCATCAGTGTAGGCGCGCGGCGCTTCCAAGCCGACACCCACCTTCTCAATTCCCTCTCAGGCCCGGTTTCGCGACTGGTGTGGAGTACGCTGGCGGACATCCCACAAAGCTACCACGTCGTGAAGGCTCTCTGCTTGCTCTGTACTTGGCCTTTTCCTACCAGCAGCACGTCCACCGATCCGACCTTTATGCTCTGCGGTATGATGATCCAAGTGGCAATGCAGCTGGGGCTGCACCGTCCATCTCACACGCAGGACTTTAGCAAATTCCGCGTGGAGCTCATTGAAGAGGAACTTCGAGATAAGGTGCGGACGTGGGCAGTCTGCAACATTGTCGCCCAACGGTATGTGGTTTCATCGTTATCGATATCGATCCTTTACTGACAGCGACGTAGGGTTGCTACTGGTTATGGCCAGCCTCCGTCTAGTGTGTACGACTGGACACTGTCTTCAAATGATTCGATGGACCCCAACTTCAGGTTGCCCGACGACATTAGGTCAAGGCTGGAGATTGAAAAGTTTTGCGACAAGGTCACCAAATCTTTATACACCAATCGGCGGGACCCCGTCGGACTTTGCAGCGATCAGGAGCGATCAACATTGATCTCGTTCCTGTCGCGGGATTTCGATGAACTGGAGAATCAGCTGAAGGCGCACAATGACAGTACGTTCTCTCTTAGGCATCATGGTATTATACAGACGGTCTAACCTTTTCAGGCATCACCAATCTCTATTTGCGCGCATCGAATCTGCACCTCCATCTGTCTGCGTTCTTCGACGACACAACCGCAAAGGATTATAGAGAGCGTCTTCTCTCGCTTTATGTTGCTACCACGACGTTCCTCGAAGCAGCGATGAACCTTGAAACAGAAGTCGGCCCGGTGCTGTCGTACACCCCGTACTACGTGTATCAGATGATGGTTGCGGGCGGATGTACTCTGCTGAAGCTATGCAAGAGTTTCTTCGCCGCGCACATCGACATGGATTATGCAAAGAACCTCTTCAACCGGACGATCTGGGCCATCAGACGCGTGTCCGTTTCCAGCAACGACCTGCCGGAGCGACTGGCGGAAGTAGTAGCGCAGATGTGGCGGCTGAACAACGTGCCCACACCGAAATTGACGGCAGACGGCGGAGAGGTCGACGATTCGCTGATGCTCAAGGTGCGCTGCCGAATGAGCATGTCCTTGCTTTTTGACTCGGTCTGGCGGTGGCGGGAAGACGCGCGGACCAAGGGGCGTAATCTCGAAGGTATGCACGGATGCAAGCACATCGACGTATGTATCGGAGACTGACAATAACTGCAGCTTATCTCAAAAACCCAACCAATCCAGACTCCAACGCCGAATCCTCCAACTCGTCATCTATTCAACCGACGCGCACCTCGACCGCGACACCTGGAGTCGCCGGCGCCGCAGACCCCAGCCTCGCCCCAGCCCCCATGCTCCCCCAGGCTAACATGGGCGTATCCGCACCGAGCGCTGTAGGCGCCCTTCCCAGCGGATTTATGGAACCTAATTACGAAGTATTCGATCCGCTGAACTGGCTTCTGGACGGACTGGTCGATTTGCCGTATTCATACTCGACGATATCGGGGATTGAGTCTCAGGGTATTGCATGAGCAGAATAATTCTGTTTGTTCGACGACTGACATGGCACATAACATTTTTACACTATTTTACATATATTTGACGACTTCTTGATGTTTCTTGTTGATTGATGTACCATATTATTATACCAGCGAGATGATTGGATTTTTATCCGACACACGCACCCGCACCCACACCCACACACACACCCCCGACAACCCTTACGTTATGGAGTCGGACTGGAGCGAGGAGTTGGCGATTTGCTTTTGCTTTGCTAGCTTTATTCGATGCTAGGGTTGGATTTTTGTTTTGTCTTGTTTTGTCTTGTTCAGATGATACCATGTATCGATAGTTGGATGCGATGCATATAGTGCAATCAATAGATGTATCTACTTTATTTACTACACCAAAAGATAAGATTTCTCATATAGAGATATAGTTTGGAGGTACCATATTATCTATTAATTAAAGGTATAATGTAGATTATGATACGATTATAGTTATGGTTATCTTAGTCTCAAATCTAAAGTCTAGCTTACCAAGTTCTTAAAACCATGGGTAAGTAGATATCACGTGGCTGGCGTATTCCAACATCTTGACTGACTACTCCGTTACTTCCTTCATCTCCATCCAAATATATAAAAATACCATCTACCTATCTATCTATCAATCACCACCTTTGAAATATATATATATATCCATAATCCATACCCACAGCTTCCTCACTTTTCAAAGAGAAAAGTTAATATCAACAATGCCAGAATACACAACCACCCGCCCTACAAAATCTTCTCTCCTCATTCCTAAGAAACGTCCTCTCAAAAAACCTCCAACCACAAAATTATCCAAGAATTATTCTACGGAGAAATACATACCGAGTCTATATTTCATATCTTCATCTTCATCCGCAGAACAAGACTCTAATCCCAAAACCACGAATGAAGGGAAAAAAGCTGCTGCTACAACAACAGAGCTCAACTTCTCCCTCCCGCCGCAGCCGTTTCTTGACCCGGGGTGTTGGGAGAGGATTCGTTCAGTATCTTCTTCTTCTTCTTCTTCTTCTTCTTCGAGATTAGGTGGTGAGAGTGGAAGTGGAAGTAGGAGTGGGGGTGTCATGCAGTTAAATGAGAGGGAGAAAGAGGAAGAGAGAAGACGGAGGAGGGCGAGGGAGGCGGAGTATGGGGGGATGGCTGTTCGGGGAAGACTTAAATGATTCATATTTCTCTCTTTCACATTCTTCTTCTTATGTTTTCGTTGTGGATCGGTCTACTATTGTGTATGGAGTTGTCGGTACTTATCACTGTGGATATAGTTCTATGATATGTATGATATTTCTTATTGATTTAGGTAGGTAAGATTGGTGGCATCGTGTATGTAGTTGCATAATTCATCAGTAAGTAAGGTGTGGTATGGTATCTTCATCATCATGAATGGACTGGGACCATCCAGTTTTCAAATCAAGAGCAAAACAATCCAAAACATAACAATAACAGACAGTACAAAATGCATGACTAATTTCAAACATATGCAAAATTCATCATCATATCATCGTTGACGCCATCAATCATAGCATAGCATATAGCACATTCTAAATAACGATAAAGAGAGACATCACAGTCATTCAAAACTCTGCTGATAGATCACTCTGGTATTTTCAGCTGCGTGCTCGACTCCATCAAGACTGCCCCGCTGATACTCTGTTTGAGTTTCTCGCGTTTGGCTTCCCGACGGTGTTCGGCGTGTCGCTGCCATGTGCGTCGCACGCGTTTGCGGATGTTGCGGACCTTATTCGTTCGGAAGCGAAGCCGCCACCATGACAGGGATCGGAACCGCTGGTGGTGGAGCGATGTCTGTGAGCAGAACGCCTCGGGGCTGAAGACTTGGCTTCCTACGAGCGTGCTGCGGTTGGCGAGGTGTCGACTGGCTTGTTCGGGCCGCCGTCTGGCACCCGGGCTGCGAAGCGCAGGACCCTCAAACACAACGCGCTGCTGTGGCATGCCTAACGAGTTCTTGATCACTAGGTCCGACGCCTCGGGGTTTGCAACGGGCGAGTAAGGAGCCTCGCGAGGCGACTCCTCCTCTGGTTCCGAGTCTTCCCAGAACCGACGAGGCCGCCAGAAAGGCTGCTGTCGTCCATCAATGTCCTTGCCGGCCTTGCGGTTCTTCACCGACGTCAGTGACAATGAGCGGACGAATGAATTGAAAGAGTCAGACCGAGGACGTACCAGCCACGGACGGCGGCCCGGGCCAAACCGACGGCCCCGGAGCTTACTTGGCTCGTTGGTGTAACCTGCCCCGCCCGGCTGACGGTCGCCGTCTGGCACGGGCGTCGGGGGCACGACCTGGCAAATAGGCGGCTTCGGCGGCTGGCGGGGGTTTTTAAGAGGGGATGTCATCTCGTAGCGTTGAGTGGGGGATTCTTCCATTCGGTGTTGGTACAGTTCAGGGTAGTCGGGTTGCCCTCGTTGTGTAGTCTGAGCCTGCGGGTCGACCAGGAGCAGCGATTCATTGTTGTGCGGGAAGAAGACGACAGTCCTCGCCTCACTGACTTCGATCAGGCCGGGCGAAGATGAAGGGATCGAAATTTGTGTGTATGGCATTGATGGTGGGCGCAGATGCGACATATCCTCCACTCCGATAATGATGGACTGCGTCTTGGATGCTTCCACAGCATCATGTGTCTCGCGGGTTGCGGTCTCTGCTTTAGCTAGACGTGGCTGCTCAGCAACACGATCATGAGTTCCATGTTCTGTAGTCATTGCATGGTCCCGCAGGCTCTCCGATGTCAAAGATGTAGTCCGTGAGTTATTTCGACTGGTTGGTGCAGAGAGCGAGGAGCTGCGGGCCGGGATACTCGGTCGGCCAGAGTGGCGACCACGAGATTCCGCCCGCTTCGAGCTGCTTGCAGTCGTGTCGGACGTGCGCTTCTGACGAGGAGGCTCGCGAGAGCCAGGCCGGCTACCCGATGCGGACGGGCCTTGTCGACTGGAGTGGCGCGATCGGCTTTGCGAGGTATTTCTGCTGGTCGAAGTGGACGACTTGAGAGAGGAGGTTCGTTCCGGGATCACAACCACCGGCACCACATCCACGGTTTGCTGTTGGGTGTTCACGCTGGAGGCTCCAGAGAACGAGATTTCCGACGCGATGCTCTTGCGGTCGCTCTCGGTGATCCGACCAGCTTTGTGTACTAGGCGATGTTGCGAGTCCGCGCTGGAAGCGGTTGATGCATGTTCTGGGCTGGGGAAAGGGGAACTAGCCGAACGCAGCGAGTCTCTTTTATCGGTATGACGCAGGGATCTTCGAGTGGACCTTGGAGCGTCGATGATCATTACCTCGACAGTGGACGAAGACATGGACACGTCTGACAGCCGGCGAGCGTCGTCGTGCTCCGCAGAGTGAGGCTGGTCCTCCGCACGTGGCCAGCCAATCTCTTCGCGAAACTGTTCAATGGACAAGCCACCCACTGGTTCCTGCGCATCCCGGACAGACTCCCGTTGATTCGAGGGTGCTGGGGAAACTTTGTTCTGTGTCTCCCAACCATTCATATCGTAGCCATGTTCTGCGTCCGCAGTCCGGACCTTGGGAACCCCATTTCTCGTAGACTTCTTCCTGCGCGGCGGCGACACCTTCAATTCTGCATCATCATCCATCTTTCGTTGCGCATGGGTCTCCATCCTGGACGGTCGGAGGCGTTGAGTACGAGGATCAGGAACCGGTGTCGACTCTCCACTCCCTCGGTCATCATAGTCCGCCGGCTCGTCCCTCAACGACCTCTGTCTGGTAGGCAACAACGACTGCGTAGACTGACGAGGAGTTTCCGTCTCTGCGTCCGAGATCATTTCATAGGCTGTCCGAAACGACTCGGCGTGCGATGAGGAGGAAGAAGACAGTCCAAAGTGCGACAGTCCCGGACGCGGGGCGGAAGGAGCGACACGCGGGGGAGTAGTTTCAGGCGTGGGTGGATGGGACGGCTTGGAGGTCACCGCCCCGTTCACGGAGTAGGATGAAGTAGCTTTTGGCGTGCTTGTTCCGCTGCTCATGAGGTCTTCGCTCTGAGCAACTCCAGGCGGCGTTAAAGGACGGACGGGAGCGGCTGCCAACGGGGTGGCATTTGAAGGGCGGCCATGCTGAGGTTGAGGCGTTGCCTCGATGGCTGGAGGGCTCCAGAGGACATTTGGCCTTCGTCGTAGAGACTTGTGGGCCCTCAACTGGGGCGGGTCCAGGTGTCCTGGTGAGGCGAGAGACGTGTTCACGACTTCCAGGCCGGGCATGGTGAGATGGCCCAACTGTCTGGGATGCCCAATTGGCGGACCCGACGGTCGCGGCAATCCGGACTGATATTTGTCACAAGCGATCAAAGTGGGTGGGTGATTGGCAGGAGAATCATGACACTTGAGTTGTTTCAATGGAGATTGGTCCCAGCTAATAGCTGACGACGTCGCATCGCCTGCTCACCGCGGCAGTTCGGAGTGTGAGGTTGAGTTTCAAACAAGAAAGATAACGTTTACTACAATGGATAAGAAACCCCCGAAAGAGGTGACCGTTTTGGACAACGGCTACCTTGTACACATTCACTGGATCTTTATCTTTTCTTTTCTTTTTTCTTTCCTGCCAACCCTGGACAAAGTTTGTTGTAAAAGCGACTGAGCGGCGGCCAGCAAGGGAGGGAAGTGGATGGACAGCGCAAGGGGAGGAACACGGTAAACTAACGAATTAATGCCCACCCCAGCGCGTCTTACAAACCAGACCGATGCCAATTCTTCCGGTCAGCAGCGATTATGCTCCTCCAGGGGCATCGACGATTCCAAAAATAGAGAATATGGTTTAAGAATTGGGGCCAGGCAAGGCGTGACACGCAGGAGGAAACCCCGTTGGCACAGAAAAGGTCCGAGGAGCGCGACGACGAGGCAAGACAGATGAGTCGCAAAGACATTCCACGTTGCGGATCCAGCGCGCGGTGCACTCAGCGGACCGCCCCAGGTCAATCCGGGATAATGACCGCGATTAAAGTCGTGGGTCGGCTTGGCAAACTACATGGAGGAAAGCAGAGGGGGAAGGATGAGGCCCAAGTATGGCAGGGCTGGCTAATTGATGGTCTGGAGGAGCGCGACCGAATGGAAGTGGGAGAGATGATGAGGGGGAATGGATGGAGGGATTGATTTGTTCGGAGAATCGGCGACGATCCAGTGACTCGCCCTGCAGTTGTCACGGGATGCTCCGAAATGCTATAGGCTCACACTACTATAAGACGGGGTTACTACAATTGCCATATAGGACCGGAAAGTACCCGAGGCATCAAGGTTATTGCTACACAGTACACCAGAAGATGCGGTGTCGACACGGTTAAGTAACTTCTCCCAAGTATATATCGACACCGCCGGTTACTGTAGGTTCCTGGTCGAGTTGAACAAGGAATTGCATCATCGATGACATGAGTCCCCCTGCAACGTTGGCAGAAATCTCGGGAGTGGCGTGTGTAATCCATGGACGACCACAGCTGAACCATCCCCAGACCGGGAACACAGTAGCCAAAGGACCCGCGATTGTTGTTTGCCGGCGCTGGATCGGATCCGACTTTTGCTGAGAAGCGGAATGGGTAGGCGAGCAGAGCAGCCACTTAAGTAGGGACGGGATGGCCCCCGAAACGAGGGATTAAACTGCGCATATGATGACATGACGACCAGTGTGAGAAGAGTCTGACGATAACTCGAACCGGGATAAAGGGCTAGACCCAGATCTTTGTTGAATAATCAGGACAGAGCTTGTATCTCGCGTTAATCTAATCTACTACGTACTAATGTCATTTCCGATTTGAAATCAGTCATGGGGACGGGTTGAAGAAGCCATGACGGGATATGACGCAGTGTGAGATGGTCAGTGAGCAGCCACCAAATGGAAAAGATATTCGGGAGTATTGAAGCGAGATGAGGGAGAGATTAAGTATGGGGTTAGGTAGTGACAGCAATGATAGATGATGATGATGAAGGCGAACTGACAGAGAGTAGAGAAAGAGAGACAATCGGCACGCGAGACTGGCTGAGTCATCACCCACGAAAGGAACCAGACTAACCGGAACCGGCAAGTCAGCCTAGGCGAAGATCCCCTTCGACGTCATGGCTGCTTGCAATTCCACCTCCGCTGGCCGATGACGCTCCATGCCGTTCATTCGATTTCCCTCTTTTCTTTTTTTTGATTGAGAATTATTTTATTTTATTTGATCTTACGCTTCCTCATGCATCGGCATGTGTTCTTGAAATTATAATCTTCATAGCCTCTCATCCGTCTTCGTCCGCCATAATTTTTTTCTGATTCCTGCCACGGTGCTCCCTCACGTTGTGCTGCCTGCAGTCTGTCCAGCTGCCCTCATCCATCCATCCTCCATCCTCCATCGATCTGCCCATCGGCCAGCATTTCCCCACCATCCCGTCCTTTCGCTTTCTCTCCGTCTCCATTTCAGCTGAAAGAGAAAGGGAAAGAAGATTGAATTTAAATTAATTTCCTCTACGACGATTATTTTGTGACTGGTGTCCCGTCCATTCTCCAATCCTTCTCATCCACAATTTCGACTGTGGTTCTTCACTGGGGTGTGTCTTTTTTGACTGTGCAGCAAGCAGCAGTGATCTCACTCACAGGTAATAAAATACTCATCCCAAAAATACCCTCCCCTCTCCTCTTTGCTCCTCCCACCCATTCTTTTGTGTGTGTGTGTCCATTTTCTTTGTTCGGTCCTGCCACCTTGTAACTTAATTTGACAAATCCCGATCGATCATCTTCCCGAAACGTCATCGTCTTGTCTTTTTGAAGTTATTCTGGCATTACTCACGCACATCTTTCCTTAAGTGACTGTATTTCCCAACTGACACTAACGGACAATTACAGTTTAGGCCTTGGCGGGGTAAAAAAGCACCAGCAGCTAAATTAGACACAGTTTAACCCAAAAAAGGACAAAAACGAAAAAAACAGAGACACAGAGAATCTTGGTTCCTTCCCAATCACATTTCATCATCTGGCTTTCATTTCTTCTTCCTCGTCCTACTGACCTTGCCTGACTCCTACTATTTCCTACTACTACTTACTGTCTGGCCTCTTTCTTCCCTCCCTTTTTCCTCCCCCCCCTACTACTTACTTCTCTTCACTTTCCTTTTTCCTCATTCCCTGTCCCTTTCTTTCCCTTTTCTTCCATTGTAATCCCCCACTTCCCCTTCCCTCCCTCCCTCCCCTCCCCCCCTTACTCAGCACACACACTATGAGTACCATACAAAGTCTCAAGAATTTCATACGTCATGGCAAACAAGCCCGCCTGGTGACGCCGCATGCCGAACCCACCACCAATGTCTCTCCCATTCATGCCGAACAACAACGTCAACCCCAGGGCTCCTACCCTCCCGCTGCTGGTAACCTGGATGCCATTGACAGCAGAATGGGCAACGGCCAGGCTCAGCCGTCCCAGAAGAATTCCGACCAGACCCGCCGCGCGCGCGAGGCCGAACTCGAGCAGATTATCGCAGAGGAAAAGAGCAGTCGCAACAAGATGCCTCGATACCCCGGCCTCGAACGTTATACCCTCGTCGAGAAGATGGGCGATGGCGCTTTCAGTAACGTCTATCGCGCCAGGGATAGCACCGGCGAATACGGCGACGTGGCCATCAAAGTCGTTCGGAAGTTTGAAATGAATAGTAATCAGGTAGGAACTGCAACCACACACTCGTTTCCCTTGGTTGTGTCATGGTTTATATGCGCATTCTGGTTATTCTTCTTTATGCTGCTCTCTGTGTTTTCTGATTTGCTGGTTTGCCTTGTTTCCTCTTTACATCTCTCTTTCTCTCTTTCTGAGTCATTTCGCCAATCTCTTGTCAATAGTCATCCGCCCATCTACATCCCGGGTTGAAGAAGAAACCCAAAGCTACAGAGGTGCGCAATCCCTCTGGGATGATCTATCATGAGTCACCCATCCAAGTCGCATGGGTCGCCTGATACCCTGCCCTTGCAATGTCTTCTTTTCGCCTCCCCTTGCTACCAATGACTCCAAAAGTGTTTGCTCGAGCTAATGACTCATTTGTTTCTTAGCGCGCCAATATCCTGAAAGAAGTCCAGATTATGCGCCAGCTAGATCATCCGAATATCGTCAAACTGGTCCAGTTTTCCGAGTCGCGCCAATATTACTACATCGTGCTGGAACTCTGCCCTGGTGGCGAGTTGTTCCATCAAATCGTGCGATTGACCTACTTCAGCGAAGACCTTAGTCGTCACGTCATTCTTCAAGTTGCCAAGGCCATTGAGTATCTTCATGAGACATCCGGTGTCGTGCATCGGTAAGGCCTGACCTCCTACGTGCTCTTGACCGCCCCCTAACTTTGCTGACCTTTGCGACAGTGACATCAAACCCGAAAACCTTCTCTTCTACCCCATCGACTTCATCCCGAGCAAAAACCCCAAACCTCGTCAACCTGGGGACGAGGACAAGGTCGATGAAGGCGAATTTATTCCCGGAAAAGGCGCCGGCGGCATTGGTGTGATTAAGATCGCCGATTTTGGTCTGTCCAAGGTCATCTGGGATAGCCAAACTATGACGCCCTGTGGAACTGTCGGCTACACCGCGCCCGAGATTGTCAAGGATGAGAGATACTCGAAGAGTGTTGATATGTGGGCCCTGGGCTGCGTTCTCTACACTCTCCTCTGTGGCTTCCCGCCTTTCTATGACGAGAGCATCCAAGTTCTCACCGAGAAGGTCGCGCGTGGCCAATATACTTTCCTGTCGCCGTGGTGGGACGATATCTCCAAGTCAGCGCAGGATTTGATCTCCCATCTGTTGACGGTTGATCCGGAGAAGCGGTACACGATCAAGCAATTTTTGGAGCACCCGTGGATTCGTCAGACCGACGAAGCAACCGAAGCAGCTGCAGATGCTCCGCCTCTGGCAACCCCGCTAACCACCCGCAAAACACAACAATTGGACGCCTTCGCGGCCGATCAAGCGCCCTACGCCCCGGCCAGCGCCCGTCTCATGGATCCAGCTTCTGCCGGTCTCGAGCGCCCCATGGACTTCCGCTCTCCTGGAGCGATCAATCTGCGCGAGGTCTTCGACGTGGGTTATGCCGTTCACCGACAGGAAGAGGAAGGCAAGCGGCGCAAGAACTTCCGCCAAGGGTATCGTGGTGCGAACCCGTCTACAGCATTCCAGTCAGCGCTTAATCCGTTGAACGAAGACTACGACGAGGCTGAAGAGATTACCTACCAACCTCTTCCTCGGGAGGACTTCCCTCCGGCTAAGATTCCCAAAGCCTCCCAGCAAGCCAGTGATGTAGCGGCTATGGAAGCAAAACTCCGATCGACGAACCTGGGAGCGCCCAGCCACGCCGCGCAAGCGCGCCAAGCGCACCAGCCTCGACAGCAGCAAGGATACGGCCAGCACAGCGCCAAGGTGGCAGCCGCTGCGAAGCAGAGCATTGCGCGGGGTGCGCGGGAGCCCTTCGAGCTGAGTCTCGACAACGCCACATTATTAGAAAAGAGAGGTCGACGACAACAGGGCCAGGTTGCTTAAGCCTCTCCCTTTCCCAAACCATCTCTCTCCATCTCCCAAGATCCACAACACTTCCTGACGACTCGAGAGCCACAGGCTACGAACTCCCCTTGCTTATGAGTTTCTTGATCTGATGACCTAACCCTTATTCCCCCTTCCCCTTATTCGAACGTTGGACAGGATCCCGGGTGGCTACACACGAACTCGATCGGTCGCATTTATTCTGGGTGTTTCTTTTTATCGTTGCTATTTTCTTCTTCTTTTACCTCTTCCTTTCATGGCTGGTAATTTTTTTTCTACTCATGTTTTAGCTGTATTCGGGTTCTGGGCACAGCATATGGTATGGTCCCTTTTCTTCACATATGTACTGATTGTTGCTGGGCTGTTTTGTTCGATGAATGTCATTACGCGCGTGCCATTTTCCTCCGGGGCTATACATTTACATGCTTTGATGCTTCAGATGCACATACATACATATTTGCGAAAGGAGCACATTCGTGGCATGGATTTTTCACGATGCGTGGTGGGCTATATCTATGGATATCACTGCAACTGCTTCCTTTTTCTTCTCGGAGTAGTCCGGCGTATGTACGTTTTGCTCTCTTTCTTTCGTAACTAAAAGCGAATCCTGGTCGATCTATGTTAGTATCTCTAGATGACCGAAACGGATGAACATGATCATAGTTCATGTCTGTAGAATTATGCCTGGAGCTTAATTAGTGCATTCCGCGTAGCTCTTTTACACAAGTATAATAGTGCATACTGCCTTGGAAGACCCCGAAGAACCAAGGTGTCTGCATGTATATTCATATAGACTTGACTCCTTATGCCCTAAATTATACAACTTGTTTCATACCGCATGCAGTATCACCATTTTGTCGAAACAGAAAAGAAAAAAAATAAATTACTAGTAGCAACACATCTGAATCTAATATCACCACCACTCTTGTAACCCACCCACTTATCGGGTATATATCCCCCATCCGTAATAACCATCTATCTAATAAAGACTTTTATCTATGTAGTATTGGAACTTCTTACCTCGGTTCTGAACTAACTAGCAAGTATCTGTCTTTCTATGTATGTATGTAGTCCCTTACCCAGGACTTGTATCACCGATTGAGGAGAGGAAAATGGCATTAGTTTATCTAGTGGATATGTTGTCTATGGATGTAGTATATAGTATATAGTATGTATGAGGGATGAGTGTGATGATGAGAGTGAGTGGAGAGGAGTGGTCAGGGACGAAGATCAGTAGTATAGTACTATTGATCACTGCTTGAAGTGTGTGCTACGCTGAATGAGGATGGCTATACTGTGTAGGAGTGTTCCTTATGGTTGATTAAGGAATTTGAAGGAATACAAGATCACTATAAACATGTGATTAATAATGAAATTCATGTGCATTTTCATTTCACTTCCTATTCTATCATGCTCCTTTTTTTGTTTCTTTTGATCCTATATACGGCTAACCAAAAGAAAAACGTCATGCATCCACGTCATACAACATAAGTATATCAACACACGAAGAGTAGTACAACCGAACAAGTCAGTAGACGGAACTAATCAATCAAGCGGGCATGTATACATATATCCACCAGGCACTATGTGCAATCCCGTCGTTCATGCAAGCCATTCAATACATGGGTATCATGCATCATTCCAATATGCTCGCTTACCCAAGAAGTTAAGACATGAGCGTATAAACATAACCAGCCGTAATGGTGAAGATAATAAAGAAAAGAATATATAAATACTTGCCTCCCTTTTTCCTCTTTTGTTCTGTTATCATTTACAGCGTCTGCTTTCCCCGGGTTTCAATAGGGAGAAGACACATGGCCACGAATGCGGCCAGGATAAGTCCACCAGATGCGTAGATAGGAGCATCTGGGTTGGAACTTGCGCCGTAGATGGCCACGAGAGGCGCGCACAGTCCCGCAATGCGGTTTAGGCAGCTGGAAATGCCAGTGGCCGTGCCACGGTTCGGAGCCGGGAAGACCTCGGGAGTGTAGGCGTACAAGACGCCGTACATGATGTTCTGGAAGAAAGCCTCGAGGCAGGAGCAAAGCAGTTGGATGTTGGAGTCGGTCGAGGCCGTGAAGCAGAAGAGCAGCACTCCGGTAATCAAGGTGGAGATAACCATCGTACCCTTACGGCCAACATACTTGATCTCAACAGTGTAGCAGGCCAGGATCGACCCAGGGACACCGACAATCGAAGTGATGGCATAGTTTCGGTAGGCAATGTAAGTAGAGCTGGAGCTAGAGCCACCTGCACGCTCGAGGTACTGGGGGAGGAAGGCATTGAACAAGGGATATCCCATTCCAATCGTGGCCCAGCAGAACCAGAGGAGAACGGCTAAAAGTTGACTAGTTAGCCTAGGTTAAGGAAAATGGAGTGTTGTGTTGAACACATACTGGAGAAACCAAGCTTTTTGGAGGAAAAGAGGGGTCCAATGCGCTCCAAGGAAAACTTGGACAGATTCCTCCGCACAATTTCAGCAAAGCTGAGCTTTTCCTCTGCCACCTCCTCAGGATAACCACCAATTTCGTTGAGGATTTCCTCAGTCAGCCACGTCTTGGTTCGGTTCTTGTGGGCAATGCCGTGAACGGAAGCAACAGCATCGCTCTGACGGCCACGTGCAAGCAAATACTTGGGCGACTCGTATAGATGGAAGAGGAAGAAGCGGCAAATGAACATGACAAAAGTAAGGGCACCCAGCGTGAAGCACAAGTAGCGCCACCCCATGTTGCTTTGCTTAGTGCAGCACGCCTCTCCGCTAGCAACGTTACCACAAGCAGGCAGATCGCTGCTGCAGCTGTAGTTCGGAATGAACGCCCATGCGAGTAGACTAATTGATTACTTGTTAGCAACAGACTCAAGACGCTAGATGAGGATGACATACCTGGAGACTAATTGGCCGAGAGGCCACCAGACACTCAGCATTGTCAGAAGGTTTCCCGAGGCAAAAGGGAGGAATTCCAAAAACAGAGCCCCATCGACAGGCAGGTTACCGCCTACACCAAGACCCAAGCAAGCATACAGGGCACAGGCTCTAGCATCTGACATTAGCAAGCGTCGACTTCGCAAACTACCAAGGGTACGCACCCGATCCAAGTTGGGGCACCACCGGCGGCAATGCCAAAAACACCGCAAATGAATAGCGTCATGTTAAAAGCCGGGCGACGGCCGATGATATCGGACGCGATACCCCAGAACGATGCACCAATGCAAAGACCCAAGAACAAGGAGCATGTTGTGAATCGGACCCATGTAGTAGAAACCCCAAACTCCGAGGCAATCGGGGTTAGTGTCAATGCAACACCCTTTTAGCGGTTAGTAAAACAGCCATCAAAGACATTATCTTCGCCGAAATCAGATGTATCTATCTCACCTGCAACCAGAGACTGGAGTAGACCAACGTTAGCTGATATACAAGTAATGCGCACGAGGGAACCACTTACTTGTCTGCTAGCCAACCAAAACCACAGAGCGCAAAAAGTTGCCACTGATAACGGCCCATGCCAATATCCTGGATGGCTCTATTGATGAGTTTTGCCTTGCCTATACAGATAATCACAATCAGATCTCAGACTTTCGAAGGTGCCCAGGCACGAGGCTAATCTTTCTTTGGGAGTCTCAAGAAAGCAAGGAAGCAGAGCAGGGGAAATGGACAGTAGCCGCCCCATGGGGCAACATCAGAACATACGGTCATACGCAGTGTCTTTGCCTGATGTCGCGATATCCGCCTCAACTTCAGCGCGAAGGGCCTCGATGGTCAGGGTGTTGTAATTGTGGACAGACCCTACGCCGGCTTCCGAGGAGGGAGCCCTATCCAAGCTCCTATTGTCAGTCTTCTCATCAGGGCGGTCGGTTTTTTCTAGTTCAGGGTTCGGCTTGTGATGCGGAGGGGCTTCGGACAGGGGGACCACGACTCCAGGGAAGTCGTGGTCATTTTTCCGGAAAGGGTTGACTCCGAAAGGCATGGTTGTTGGGCTTTAGTGACGATGTCGCATGCGAGGGCAACTTTCGATATGGGCTGTGGCACCGGGGGCAAATTGGGGGAACAGGATCGATGGTCTGCTTTGGCGGGCTTCAGCGTGAGTCGAACTACTTGTCGCTATGGTCTGCAAGGGTATTTCTCTATCGATATCCGGGATGCTCAGAAAGCTAGGGGCCACCGATGGCTTCGCAGTTGTCGCTAGGGTCAGATACAGTAGGCGCAATGGCTGTATAACCGTAACAGGTTGGTGCTAGGGACAGGCTGAACAGGAACCGATACTCAGGGGCCGAATAAAAGGTGCTCGGGGATTTCAAAGGCCGGATATTCGTGGGTCTTATGTCGAGGCTATTGAGCGCACGTCGTACAGCTGAAATCGAGCAGACGGTTTTCGCCTTTGCTGGAGCAGGTTTGAAATATATCCAAAAGGAGTCAATGGTATATAAAGTAATGCAGGGGTAAAAAAGCTAGGGACGCTGAGAACTGCAGCTCAGTCGACCTATAGACGACAGGGACGGAGTATGAAGAGGTATAAGAGGGCAAGGAACAGTGATGGTTCCGACTGACAGGTCGAATGGATCGAACCTTCTTCCCAGAGCGATGAGATGGCGCACGGAGTAGAGGATCAATCGACTGCACTCGCTGTCGTCTTCAAGCCGACTCTTTTAAGAAATGCAACGGTAGAGGGGGAAAAGAGATGCGGGGAGGGGGTGGGTAGTATATGAGGTGGTAGAGAAGAGTGAGGGTAAGCACAGGAAAGAACCAAGGTTTGAGGGATGAGGAGAGGGAAGCTGAGGTCTATATACGCATCCAGCTTTGGACTGAAAGCTAACATGAAAAAGGAAAAAAAGACTGCATCGCAGAAATTCCCATCGCAAATCACTGTTTCTTCCCTCTTTCCTATTTTTCTTTTTTACTTTTTCTGTCTGCTGCTACGATACATGGGGTGGTATGGGTCCGTCCCTGTAAATTAAATTAGTGCTTTTTGCAAACGCCGAGAAGTGGCAAGTGCCCACGACTTAGTCTCCCAGAAGAGATGTAATGCAACTGGTCGGCAAAACTTCGTTCAATACCTTGGCAGCTGTAAAATTAATGCATATTTTCTCCTCACCCCTCTTCCGAGTCTATCGAAACGCTGGCACAAAATTTATCTTCGGAGGGGCGTAGATAGGCTTTCGCATGACTCTCAATATGCAAATACCGTGATACGCGTACTGATCCTGTACGGCCCCCCATACTTTGGCCGGAGTCAGGCTAGCGCGGGGCGATGGAACCACACCGGCCGAAACCGAAGTCCAATCTCAACAATGCTGATTGGACCGTCTATACCTTGGTAGGGCGTCTTGGCATTGACGGCGGACGCCATGGCCCTTGGCAGATGCAGACTGCAGCGATACCCCTGCGACAATCGACTTGACGATTGGAGCAACGTCTTACCAAAAGAGATAATATGATAGGGAATATGTAGGGCTTATCTTTCGAAGAACTCATAGAGATAGGAGTACTCGGTTGCCACAAAGAAAAGCGGGAAAAAGGATGTTTTGAAGCGCCAAACCCATAGCTCTGACTCCTCGGTATGCAATAAATGCTGCACAGCACATTTTTTCTCTTCACTACCGGGAAAGGGTGCACTAGGAAAGCCACTTTTACCTTAACCCACTTCTCGGTGGTTGCCAGCAACGTTGACTGGATGCTAGAATCGAGGATTCTTCGGGAGGTGCCAGATCTTCCAAGCAATAAGACAGCTCGGCTGGCATTCATCTCCGCAGCGTGCGTTGGTTCATCCCAACGCAAGGGAGGCTCTCCATGGTGCCGGCCGAGGCGCATGGTCAGAATTTGGGGTAATGATGCCATCCGAAGAAGCTTAACTCGGCGTCATCAGTAAACATGTCCTTCGAACGGCTCAGGACTGTGTGTGTACACAATAGAACAAGTCTTTCCGGCACTAGAATATCCTCACATGAGCACAAACGACTCGGTCCACGTGCTAGATTTGCCCGATATTCTTCTACGTCATCGCCATACTTCTATGTGACGCTAATCCCAACTGGGACTAGTCAAAGTTACCTGACAACATCGGTACCGGGCAGAGAGATCTTACAATTTAGGATGCCATGGCCACTAACCTGAAGGCACTCCGTTGGCGCAGTTGAAACCTGATTTGGTATGTGAGAATCCGCCTTCTCTGTCTCCCATAATTCGAAACTACTAGGACTGGTGGACTTCGTCGTACCATAAGGATAGAGGTCTGAAGTTCATGTTCAACAGACACGAGTATCTTACATCCGATCTGCACTCTGAAGATGGTAACCGTAAGCCACGAGCGCAGCCGCACCTGAAAACTTACCCGTCCAGCATGCATGTAGGAACGTACTAGGAGTCGCCGACACGAGACACCATGATGAAGTAGGTTTAGGGTCCCAAGACGACCGGCCTTTCCCAGACGGGAATGGCACGGCAGAGGCCTGAGCCTGAGGTCGCCAGTCCAATCCCAGCAGGGATCACCGTTACACTGGTCCGTCACCACTTCCGCAACCGTTTCTCAGATGTACCCGTTTCCCTGGTCGTCCAATCATCACCCAGCAAGCAAGTCCTAATTTCCTACAGACGGGCATCCCTAATGGGGCCACGGGCCACCAATGGCTTTGGCTCAGAGGCAGAGTGGTTGTAATACTACTAAGGAAGTACTTGTAGTCATGCAAATGGCTCCCTAATTTACCTACCGGGCCAACCACAGGGAGTTCCCTCTCAACAAAAGGGTGACCTGCTAAATGGGGGCCAAGACCAGCATGCCGTAAAATACAACCTACGGCTGTCCACTTACAAGCGATTTCTCTGCCGTCAAAGTCCGCTCACTATTGCCCTTTTGGTCATGGTCAGTTTTCGGGCCATCTTGTTTTCCGCGGGAAGGTACGCCGGTGGTACGCTCGCGCCATAAGCTGGAGGACTAGAGAGAGGCCGTAGGCCAAGTTCATGCTTATGCTTCAGTCCTGGTTGCCTCACTTCATGGCTGGGCTGGACCATGAAATCTGATCGACTGCACCAGGATATCCACTAAACAGATAGCCGCCGAGATCGAACCCCTCATTTCCCTCCATCTCCGGCTGCTGAATGTATCTCCAACACACGCGGCGGCGACAGACGATGGCTTGAGCACTGCGTTCGACAAAACAAGACGGGAAAGTTTCCAAACTAAGCGGACTGCAGAGAAGTTGAGTCGCTAATGAAGATCCAGTTCGTAGAGATCTCATGTATCAGTAGCTTATGGAAAGACTATCAAAATGCGGAGACGGTGTCGGACAGTTTTTCTCTATCGGGACATATTATCCAGCTTCATATCGAAATCTCTCGGCGCCACTTCCAACGCAATCCGGAAGGAGGCGAGCGAGGACGTGCTCTTCGAATGGTTGTTCGTGGACTTATCCCCTCCGCTTCTTCACTCGGACGCAAGACGTTGGGACTCCCGTGAGCCATTTCTTTGAAGACTAGTGTTCTGTCACAAGTTTAGCGGACTTGGAGCAATCTAGTACTGATCAGAACAATGGCCCCGAGCAGCTGCGCGTTCTCCGCAGAGCCATGAGCTTCTGGACTTAAGGAGAATTAGTTGACGTCAGTCGAACACTAGCCGGGTCTTGGAGCATGAGAATACATTATCTCATCTTGTCACAAAAGATGGCATGTTCGCAGTCGTTTTGGCCATTTCCAATTTTGGGGTAAACGCTCCCCCTAGTTGATTGGTGTTGTAGTTGGGGAGATAGATACCCTTTGACACCGCCACAGATGGAGGAGGTAATGAATGGCCTTCGGAACCGGAGAATGGATAACCCCGGCGGCCAGCGACACGTGATCGGCGACCGAGCATCGAGGGGCTGCGCAGTGCGCGCCTGAGCCTTTGGTGCGCGCTCCCTTTAAGGCCAATATGCCAAAACAATACTCCGCATCATAACTCTGATCACGTCCTGGCTATGTACTGCGCCACATGCCAATGTGGGGGGTAGACATCACTTATTTTGAATTTCTCTGTCTCTCTGGCAATCTTTCAGGTCCTCGTCCGGCACCAGAGTCGCTCGTGTCGGTTCTCACAGTTCATACACCACCACCATGACCAAGATCTTGACCTCCAGCCAAGCTGAGGAACTGTGAGTATATTTATGCCATGGCCTGCCGTACCTTGCTTGCGCGCTTATACGCAACCCAGGCATAAGTCGATAATCGCATACCTTTCGTCAATAAATGCCTCGCGGAGTTGTGAAGTGCTGCGGGAGGAACTCCAAGTGGACAGTAGTTTCGACGATGCGCTGTGCCGGAAATACGAAGGGCTATTAGAGAAGAAATGGACCGGAATTGCTCGGCTGCAGAAAAAGGTAGGTGCATGTGCTTGACAGGGTTGGTCGCTTGGAGTTGTTTCTTCTTTCATCGTCACTGGAGAGCTCGGTAACTAATCACTGTGTAGATCTTGGACTTAGAATCTAAACTCGCTGGCCTCCAAACCGAGCTTGACACTATATCACCTACAGCCCGCTCCACCGGGAAAGATCCGATAAACTGGCTTCCCACTTCTTCCCGACATACATTCGAATCGCACCGAGATGCTGTCACTTGCGTCGCATTCCATCCTGTCTTCACCTCTCTCGCCTCCGGTTCCGAGGACTGCACGATCAAAATTTGGGATTGGGAACTCGGCGAATTAGAGCGGACACTCAAGGGTCACATGAGGCCGGTCTCCGATCTCGATTTTGGCGGTCAGAAGGGACATACCATACTAGCATCGTGTTCGAGTGATCTCCAAATCAAACTGTGGGATCCGAATAAGGATTATGCCAATGTTCGGACACTTTCTGGACACGACCATTCAGTTTCGGCTGTGCGCTTTTTGCGACAGACAGATAACATCCTTATCTCGGCCAGTCGGGATGCGACGATCCGGATATGGGATGTGTCGACCGGATACTGTGTTAAGGTGATCGACTCGCAGGGCTCCTGGATCAACGACGTGTCTCCTTCCTTCGATGGAAAGTGGTTGGTGACGGGAGGCCGTGATCAAGCCGCGATGGTTTGGGAAGTCGCATCAGCCAAATCGGTTGCGTCATTAATAGGTCACGAGAATTTCATCGAGTGCTGCGTCTTTGCGCCTCCCTCAAGCTATAAGCACTTGGCTGCTATTGCGGGACTAAAGACAGCACCACCTGCGAGTAGCTCCTCCGAATTCATTGCGACGGGAGCCCGTGACAAGACGATCAAGCTCTGGGAATCCCGGGGCCGCCTGATCAAGACATTAGTTGGACACGACAACTGGGTACGAGGCCTATTGTTCCATCCTGGCGGAAAGTACTTAATCAGTGTTGCGGACGACAAAACAATACGTTGCTGGGATCTGTCTCAAGGGGGAAGATTGGTGAAGACGATCAACGCCCACGGGCATTTTGTTAGTTGCATTCGTTGGGGCCCAGTACCTGTGAGCGATGTTCCAGTGGAGACTTCTGAATCGACTAAAAGTTCCAAGACGGACTCTGTCAAGCCTGGGTTTCAATGCGTCATTGCAACAGGGAGCGCCGATTCAAGTGTACGGATTTTCACGTAGTTTCAGAGGTAAATGATTGCATATATCCTAACCTTTTCCAAGACTAATACCAATACGAAGACTCAGATCATGAAGCTCCCTCCTCCCATCCGCAAGACACATACACACACCCATGTAAATGCAATCCCAGGAGAAACAAACAAGGCCCGATATTCCGAGATGAGGTCGAGGTCGATGTCTCCAGCCGCAGATCCCTTTTTTTTCCTGTACACAAACAAACACACAAACACACTGCTGCTTATGACGGCCCCCGACCAGGAAGAATTGATTGATGAAATGATGAATGAGATTATGACTGAAGCTGAATCTGATACACACGTTGGTTGTCTAGAAATAACATGACGATGTTTGAAGTAGGAGAAGGAGAGGATCTTAAGAGAGGGAACCTGTCACACACACACACACACCCACACCCACACACACACACACCACAGAGTCATGTCGGGATCAGATACCAGACATGCAGCACTCGCGAAGCAAAGAGCACAATGCAGTGCGACCTTATCCCACCACCACCCAGACAGAGATGGAGACGAGCAATCTCTTCACGCATCGCATCATCGCTGTCTATTTTTCTATTTTTGCATACCCCCATCTATTGAGCAGGGCACCCACATCCCTCGCTGTATTTGACCTTTTCCCCCCTTCATCTTTCATTCGACTCAAGAGAGCCGGTTCCATCAAGGCGTCCGTCTCCCCTTACAGGAGGCATTTCGTGGAACGGGGTATTTCTCTTCGCAACAAAGGCGCACGGTCTAGACTACTTAGAGAGACTCTGTGGCTTTCCTGTTTCTTTGGCATCATACTACTACCTTGACTGTAAATAGCTTCTCTATCTAGCTAGCTTTAGTGCCAATTGCTTATCTACATACATAGATTGTTAGCAAGGTGTTTCGTCGTGTCCTCTTCATGTGCTACCACATCAGTGGGAGATGCTGTATGACCGACTTATTCCTACCACTCACTCTCTTGGACTATCCTTCATCCTCAGAACATTTACGTTAGCAGTACGTGTCTCGGACAAGGCACATTGTGCAATTCTATGCGATTGGGCTACATCTTCAGGATTAAACTCGAGTTTACTGCTACTTTTACTTATGATTATGCCAGTAAAAGCTGCTCATGTACATTCGCGCAACGTATCTACAGATCATAGCTTATATCTTTACTATCATCACAACATCATCCCTTATTTTTAGCCTAACCCACCTTACAGGGTATCCCGCCGACCAAGCAGCCACTCAAGGTGACGGTAGGACACTCTCGGCTGAAACTGAGGCTGCATGTGACCACTCTGGAAGGTCTCAGCCCACATAAGACCACGCTCATAGTGCTGAATGCCCATAACGCCCTGACCACCTTGCGGGTCATAGCCGTTCTCAACGAACACTTCATTGTACATGAGGTCCGGGATATCGATGTTGATGGGGGTGCTCGGGGCAGTATCAAACCCAAGCTTCCCATTCCACGTCATATTCTGGATGGAGAGAAGAGTGCCATTGGTGAGGATAACCATGTCATAGTCACCGTTACCGATCAGAACGCGGTTAGTGCCTTCAATGACCTGCGGCAGGACATGTTCGATAGGGTTGGCTGAGAAATCGCCCTCCTGTTCGGGCCCGCCGTCACCTCCGACGAAGACGCTCTCCACGGAGCACTCGGACCAGGTGATGTTGGGGGCGTGCATGGCACGCTTGACGTCTGCGCGGTCGAAGTAGATGGTGGCCCCTGCGGGGAGGTAGTCGAGTTCGGTGGGGAAGCCGAGGACGTCCCAGAGGAGGGGGCACATTTCGTTGATTCCGTAGGGGTTGAAGCATGGGTTGGGGTCCAGGACGGCGTCGTTGACGATGTCGTATACATCGCAGGTCGGATCGCTCCAGTTCATAGCCTTCGGTGGTTGGACTCCGGATGCGGGGAAGACTAGGTACTGGTCGATGAAATCTTTGTATCCGCATTGCTCATGGAGGGTTTCTAGCTCTGCTAGGAAGCTTGCGTTAAAGTTGAAGAGGGCGTTGTTCTTCTGGACAAAGGGGACAACTGGTGCTTCTTCCTGCACGTAGTCGAATTGGCCGATACAGGGGTCATAGGCCAGTGCACCTGAGTAGTAAGATTAGTCGAGAACTCGAAATGGAATTTTGGGTTGGTTGGTAGAGGATAACTCACCTTTCAGGTTGAAGTGTTCTGTATCATTTTGGTCCAGGAAGGCCGCGGAGATGTAAGGAACATAGCGGCCCGCATAGCTCTCTCCAGTAACATAGATTTTGAAGTTTTTGATCCCAAAGATCTGCTGCCAGTTCTTGAAAAACTTCACAAAGTCTGCGGCAATCTCCTCCTCGGACGTGGCGGTTGGGACACCCAGAGAGAATCCCGTTCCCACGGGTTGGTCAACCCTATAAAAACAAATTAGGTCGACACCCTTTCCACATACTCAACCAGCAATTCAGGAATGTTACACACGTACCACAGAACGTTAGTAAGATTCACCCATGAGTATGGGTTCTCAACAGGTCGGTAGGTTCCGGGCTGCCACACGAATCTACCATTTTCCTGAAGGAAGGCTTCAAGGGAACTGCAACCCGGGCCACCATTCAGCCAGATGGTGATCTCATCCACAGGTTCGCCGATAGTGGGCTGAAAGACGAAGAAAAGGGACCGTGACAGGTTGCCCTTCTCAATAGGGACCAAGCCGGAATACATCTCGCCCAGATCGAAGTGAACATCAGGCAGGCTTTCCACGCGGTAAGCTAAACGACAAAAGTAAGCCAGCTGTCGTCCATTGTCGAACCGAAATACGTACGCTTAGTCTTGTTGTTCAAGAACTGATAGTCCTCGACAGGAATACTCAACGAGTGTTTCACGGCGTTAGCGGAACGCTTTGCGATGTTCATGGCGTCGCGAGCTTTCTGGCCAAACCGGCCGTGCTTAGCAGCGGAAGCATTATCCGTGCACAATGAGATGGCTAGAACAGCCGTCGACAGCAGACTGCGAAACAGCATACTGAAAGGTCTCTGGGGGACGGGCCAGTGGACAGGCGTGCACGAACACCGAGCCTGTCCATGGGGGTGCCGGGCCATTTATATGCGGGTGCCAGTTCCATGCTGCCTAACGATGATGTAGTGCAGCGACGCTAAGGCGACAATGCCCACGTAGGAAACCATCTGATTGTCGGAGCGCGCTCACAGATTCAGGATTCGCAACCACTGGTACAAAGTAACTTGTCGGAAACTGGAGGGCGGGGCATAGGCAACGCAACAAGGTGATGGGACCTTGCAGAAACATCTCTGGCGGGGCGTTGCGCGAATAGGATGCAACGAGGGATCACGAAGGTACCAATAAGAAGCTCGCGACAGCTATGCGAGAGGAGAAACAAGCATGATCGCAAGAAAGTTGGAGCGGCTGTCCTCGGAAGAGGCCTCGTGGGAAGATGAATGCGATGCTCATTTCCTAATGCGGGAATACAGGCGGAAACTGCGGGCCTGTAGTGTGATGATAACGATTGTCGGTGACGATATCTCGATGGGGTATCAAGCTAAGCTTCGGCATTCGCTAGTGATAAGAGGCATTAATCAGCCGACATTGTGATGAACAGAGCCCTGAACACCTCCACTCGGTCTTGCTGGATGGCTGTGATACGATGGATGGTCCCGCCATGTCTCAAGGTGTCGCGGGAGTCCGTCGGGCGTCCGAACGGCAATGGGCCCGAGGGCAGAACTGCAGTCCTGCAGAACGGTAGCACGCGCAGCTAGCCGATAAACCGAGAATACCGTTGTCATTAGAACTGGATTGCTTTTTATGAGCACCGATTGTTTGCCTGTTAAGCTCGAGTTGTGTGCAAATACTCCGGCTGGAGTCTGCAGAATGCAGAGAGCTAATGGTCCGTGCGAGCTGCCAGAACGCGGGTATTGAGATAGGGCGGTATTCCATAGGTCTTGCTGTGGAACTTTCGACTATGGCTATACTTATTGCGAGATTGTGAAAGTATACGCTATTTAAATGGTAAAGGGGCGGGCCAAGTGAGGTCGGTAGTGTAAAATCTGTGACAATATTCTACGCTTGTGTGGGTTGCTTCGAGCGTATTGGAATAAGGTATGATGATTGGCCTACTACATAATGCTACTAGATCACTGCTATTAGATGATGATCATCTGATATTGACCTCGTTGTATTTATCTACTCTGGTCTTCGATGGTCAACTCTCTCCAGATCATACCGAGTAAGAAATATTCTGCGTATCAGGGACAGGAAAGGAACAGATTGATGGGTTGTCTACAATATATTATCAAAAGTCTCGGGACACCCGCCTCCCGCCCTACCAAACGACCCTATTCAAAGTAGGATATCTCCACCAAATTTTTCTATATTCAAAAGATCTTTGGTGTTGACCTTTTCTAGCTCTAATACTTTATATAATAATCTTTTGCTTTATAAACAGCTTTAATATACTTTGATATTGAACAGATAAGATTATCTAATATTATAAAAGATATACTGTTCCAACACACACATAAAGCATTATTAAATATTTTTTTTGTCATAGAACAACCTAGGGGAGTTGCTACAGACAAGGCCAAAAAGACCATCATTACCCGCAGCTACCTGCGGACCCCTAAAATCCTGCTTATATAGACATGTACACACGGGAGTAGGTGGTCGCTACCACCAATCTATTACATTTTTATTCTTTAATTTGAGGCCCTCCTGCCAGAGATTTGGATATTCTTTATAAAAAGTATATTTTAAGAATAGCCAGGCATATTCAATCAGGTTTAAATCAGGAGAATAAGATAGCTAATCCATGATTCAGATCCCATGTACTTTAAATTAATCCTAGACCTCCTGCGCTTAATAAATTAGTATATTATCTTATTAAAACAATATTCCTGGCTTATATATAGATTATAAACCCTTTTCTAATACCCAGATATATAAAAATTAAGTATAATTATTCTGGAGAGTCTCAGGATTATATTCTATAATGATTAAATTTATACAATTACTAATCCAGATAGCAGTCCAAACCATCTACCAGTAAACCTTATTATAATATTATATATTAACTAGATCAGGTCTGTAAGCCTTACCAACTATCTGAAAAATATATCCAGTATCTTTCAAGGCATTATGTTCAACTGAATATTTATTTAAGAATATAATATTATTCCAGGTATATTTTGGAAGCCATTCTCTGCAGAAATCATATTATACTTTAGTATCTTTTCTAGTCAAGAGTATTCTTTTCTTAGCCTTCTATTTATATACTTTATAAAAGTACAAAACATGTCTAATTATAGCCTTTAAGATTATTATATCTATATTAATATAGGTAGCGGAAACCAGTACTTTCTAACTTATTTTTAATGAACAGTATACCATTAAATAGATATAACAATATATAGAATAATTAAGCTTGCAAGGTCTTCCTGAATAAAGCAAAGATTTGACTTGGTTATAGTTTTAAAAGTATTCTTTTGTATGATAAATTATTGAACGTAAAACTCTGAATTACTTGACTAGTTTGACTGGGGATTACTTCATTTCTAGCTTAAATAGGATTGCAGAGTGTGCCTCAGGAGAAAGTTTATAAGAATAACCATGATTTGCACTGATTTCTGTTCCAAAAGACCTCATCTTGGTGGTGTGATGGTTGGTTGAAGATGGTGAGATTTTTGACACACGTCGCGCGGGAGCGGGATGTCCCGAGACTTTTGAACCATATTATATGTGAAAGCACATCCATGTAGGGCAACATTCTCAGGGCAAGTGTCGTGTACCAGAAGGGGCAGTCGCAGTTGCAGCACCATCCTGGGTAAAAGAATCATTGCGCCCATAAAACATTTGGGCGCGTTTCTCTTCAGTATTATTCTTAATGCTGTTCATATAACTGCGGAACGACCGGTTCATTTCCATCACCTTTTTGAAATGGTCGCTCTCAACGGTGATCTCATCCCCCTCGTGGTAGTATTCGCTCCCACGCATATCGTATTCAGCCAACGCGATGGCAGTCTGGAGGGCGTTCCGGATCTCACGCCCATTCCAGTCCATCGCGCTCATCTCATTCCCCATAAGGAATTGAGTGCAGGCCGCGGTGACACGAATCTTGCCTCTCTGTTCCCTGTGAAGCTTATCGAGAAAGTTCCTCCAGATCTTTTTCCGCTTTTCCGGATCAAGCTTTTCGAAGCCAATGATGACGTGAACCCGAGAGATAAATGCTTCATCGATGTGGCCTACCCGATTGGTGGTCAGGAAGAGCAAGCCTTTGAAGAACTCCATCTTTCGGAGGAAAGCTTTCAAGAATGCAATTAGTGACTGTCTGACAAACGTTTGATCGAGCAATTATAGAGTACGACATACCAGAAACTATTCCATTCCGGGCAATATCCTTGTGTTCTCGACGTTCGAGAAAGATGTCGGCCTCATCGAGGAGTAGAATTGCTCGCCATCTTTGAGCAAGTGCAAACCAACTGGTAAGTTGAGTTTCAATTGAATCTTCCTTCGTACCTAGGTCTGCTATTGTCAGACTGATCAAGGGACGACCGGTGTTCATTGCAATTGATTCTGAGTGGTTGTTAATACTACAGTAATCATTTGAGGCGCCTTGGCGGGCTAACTCACCAACGGTATACGTCTTCCCGACTCCAGGGGGCCCTGTAGTGTAGCTACAACATCAGCTGATAGGGACATGAAACAGCGTGAAGAACTATGATCAAGCACCACAACTGACCGTGAAGTAGCACAACAACGCCTTCACCTTTATCCTTGATGAAGTCTGCGGACCAGAGGTTTTGCGTTTTGATTTGACGATCTGACAGGGCTTTAATGATCTCAAGGTTTTCGGGTTTTATATTTGCATCCGGTATGGAAGTCGCCTTCTCCAGTTGCTCTGCATAGTCCACGTTCACAATCTCTGCGAATCATGGTTAGCAAGGATTTCCTTTCCCTGTACTCCAAGGTTTATATTACCCCAGCTTTTGGTCGACAATGCAAAAGCAACCATGATTGGACATGTCATAAATAGGTGATCATCGGATAGTAGTGATTTCGAACTTTCGCTGGCAATCAGATCCAGCGGAAGCATCGAACTAATTGGGTTTTGATCATCTTCGACCTTTACATTCTTATTGCTGCCCGGTCTCCAGTCAAAGGTCCAGTTACTATCGGGAAAATCGACCTCAATCTCACAGGGCCCGATTATAATGGGTCCATCATACTGTAATCGATCAGTACCTTCGTCGTTCAGATGGCCTTGAGATAAGTCACCTTTCTTTTCGCTTCGTCCATGAACCTGCCACTATAACTCATGTACTTATAGCCACTCCATATGATGTCTCTGACTAAGGCGTCCCTTCGCTGAAACGCAGCTCTTCTTGCACCATTGTCCTGGCTGTCATGGAACTGGCGTGGGAAGACGGGCAAAGTGGTCACAACCTTCTCACCGTCGAAAGCCTCCACAGTTAGTTGTAGAGGTGCACGACCAACAGCCGGTTGGGAAAAGCCGTTGTCTTGAAACACAACGTTCACCATCCAGGCCTCTTCTACCTCATCGGTCTTCTCTCTATACTGCACGCTTTCGATAGCGCCCCCAAGCCATATCTTATCGTGGAGGAAGTAGCACAATGATCCCGGTTTCAGAAGATACCATATGTCCTCGAAAATTACTGTGGGGGTTTCTTTCAGTAGTCGCTTGTCAGCCGGGGGTACCATACGCTGGACCATTGGATCCAAGAATTGGAGCAGCACGTCGAGGTGACGGCACTTTTCTAAGAGATGAGCGTCGGGATTTGCAGCGATGTTAATGTCTAATCGGTCCCTCAGTTCTCTCAGTTCCCGGATATGATGAATTAGCACCCTATAAGGCTCATGGACTGTCACCTCGTCACCGACCAGGTTTTGACTGCTATTAATTAGCCTCCAAGTCCCATGCACCGCATTCAAGACTTACCTCGGGTAGTACTTGACGACTTCTCGAATGGCATCTAGGAGTGACAGCGAGTAAATGATCATTCTCGCCTTATTCAAACTTTTCACCTTCATAAAATTCAGTGAAGGCCTTTCAGCCTCTTCTGGCATACCACCACGAGGATATTCGACCGCAACCTTTGTCGCTATCTCAAACACACAGGAGGGCTCCTCTGTAGGGAAGGGCTGCTTGGGCTCTTTCACAACTTTAAGCTGCACGGGGGTATCATGGGTCTCTTTGAAATCCGCACCATCGAGATTGAAGCAATCATAGGTATATTTGATGGGCTTGAACAAAACCTCCGATTGTTCGTTCTGCTCCGAACCGGGCAACGTTGCGCCATCTCCTGGTGTAGAACGTTTCGCATCGTCAACAACCTCAACAACGTGTGAGGTCTCGACACCTGTGAGAGTCATGGTAAAAATCAAAGTTAGATAAACCTTTATGGTAGAATAACTTTAGTCAGAAGCTGCTTATATGTGGTGACGAGTTGAGGGATAGACAACGAAAGATGACCCGATTCCAAAGCACTGGGTGCTGGCTCAAGATTACAGTTCTGCGGGGAAATGTGGTCTATTTGATGTACGCCGCATCTAGAGTGTATTTTCTAAAGCGGTACGTATCCTGGCGCTGGGATGATTGATTGACAAAGAAAATATGTGATGATGTGGCTGTATTACGATCGGCGTCCCCCGGATGGCCAGAAGGAAGCTGAAGAGTGCATCGCCATTCTCGACGTGTCAGCTAGAACTAAGTACGGAGTATGTTCACCAAAAAGCCACTATCAGAATCAACAGCAGAGCACCCAATTACCGATGGTTGTCCACACACCTCCCCATATTGCTTTTTTTCTTTCTTCGGGTACTCCTGAGTTACCCGAAAAACTCATAGGTCAGGGAAATACAAATGAAATATTACTGAGTATACAGTAGAAATTATCATGGTACTTCCGTGAAAATTACCGTCTTTCACCCAGATTGGCAGTGTTCAGGGTCGGGGACCAAAACTCAACCTGCTATTTGGCGAGACCTGAATGTCGATCTGTCGATTCTCTGCTCCACCTTTCAGCTCCCTGAAAGCTCGGATCAATTGATTCTGACATCTACTCTACGCGTAGGTAAGGTTCATCCCGTGCTTGATAACAATAAGCACATCATATTACGTGTCATGCATCGCTAATTGAAATCACTCCGAAGACCTAGGGGTCTTGCTTAAATGTCAGTGGCTGACCATATCTATCTGTACTCGTGCCGACGGACAAACGAGCCCGGATCCCGGGAACACCGAATGTAGACGTGTGCGAGCTTTTGATAGGGTATTAGCGAACTGTTAGAACCTTAAGACATGGCTGCAAGTGTAGCCTTAGGGTGACAAACAAAACCTTACATTCAGCTGATACCTCATCGGGGATCGGGGATTAATCCTCGCACGAGTGGGGAAGAAGATACCATACGGCTGAGAATCATCGAAAAGCGAGAGTATTGCTTTTTCGGTTAGCCCCAAGCCAGTAGCCTCTAGTACAACATGATCTGTGAGCGAAAATTGGTTATCAGAATGAGCACCAAGCGAGTTGAATTTCCACTAACTGGTTATCTGTCTGGCCAGGTGAGCTAGTCTGTCATATTAATCTATTCTGCCATTTGACTTACCCATAAACTATCTCGGTATTTTTAATATCCATCCATCAGATTTGGACGTCAACACCTTCCTGTGCTATCATGCATCGATTCAGGCGTAGAGCAGGCGAGGCCATAACACATGTCCGACAGTTCAGCTCCAAAGCCAAGAATGAACAGCCTGAGGAGCCATGGGTGTGAGTGACCAAACCAGATCAACAAGTCTACATCTTGGGAACGAGGACATGCTGACGGATGGCCCGACAGGAAAAGCCTCGACGAGCATGTCAAGTGGGAGGTTAAGGAGGAGAGTGAGGGAAGGAGGCTGTTTAGTGAATCCACCGACCAGACAATTCGCTTATATCGGGATGGATCACCGTCCGAATACGCTTTGTAAGGGAGCAATCACTTTCTATTGTCGACTTCTGACTCTCATCAAGGTCCTCCTCATCCATCGCATTTGCTGAGTCTGAGGAACTCAAGGAAATAACCAAGGAGCTCGAAGAAATGTGGAAAAAGGCAATCGAAGATCTTATCGAGAAGCGTGGGAATGATAGTAACGACCTCGCTCAACTCATCAACGATCCCACCCCAGAGAGGCTTGAGGCGGTTGTGCGCACAGCGCAAAGTGAATTGGAGGCAAAGACGCATACAAAAGTGGGGATGGTGAAGGAATGGTTCGGTAGAGTGGCCGGACGAATTAACAACCATAAGTACCTCCTTGATATGCTTCCTTCCGGCGACAAGTATACCTCAGTCTTGATCGGGGGCTTAACTGCTTGTATCAAGGTCTTTAGCTACCCTTCCTGTTAAACCTGAACATCGCGAGACTGACACTCCTGATAAAGGCTACACTGGAGCACGAAGCAATTGCAGAGTTAATCTTCGACTGCCTTGACAAGCTCTCCGACAAAACCTACAAGCTGTCCAAAGCTATTCGAAACTCGAAGGAAAACGATTACATTAGAACTCATATTGTGAAGTTCTATAAGACGTTATTTGGGCTCTTGGTTTCAATACTCGAACACTGGTTACTCTCACGAGCTCAGCGCGGCAAGAATAGTCTCGGGAGTAGTTTCCGGAACCAGCTCGAATGCTCGATGAACGATCTTGACTATCATGTGAAGGAATTGAGTGATGAGAATAACTCCGTAATGATGGAAAAAATGTCTTATGATTTGGGACAGTTGGTTCAGGCAATTCTCGTTGGCGGGTATAGTGAGTCATGGCCGACTGCCACCAATGCCAGTAACCAGTTTAAGACGCCTGGTCAATTTCAGGCCGCTTCTGAGAGCCCGTCTGGCGCTCCATATGTCATTCGTGGTCTGCCTAATATCCATGAACCTAAATTAGCAGCCAGCGTGGCGCCAGGAATACAAGACGAACACAATGATCATCACTGGACCACTCAGACCATCTTGGATGGCACAGCGTGGATGAAAGGATATGTCTGTTTCAAAAAGGAGGAGAGCCTGCTTGAGGAAAGCTGCTATGGATCCACAAACCCCCAGGTATACGCTCGTCTAGTGCAATGGACTCAATCGAGGTCATCCGAGGCGCTATGGCTTGAAGGCCCGGCAACAATGGGTGACACGACCCCAAACACACTGATAACAGCGCGCATTGTCGAAACATTCCGAAGGCTTCAAGTCCCTATCGTTTCATTTTTCTGTGAATATGACTCGGGACAGTACAAAAAATTCTCCCGTCCAGAAGAGCTCTTGAAGATGGTGTACTCTTTGACATCACAAATGTTAGCCTTCATTCAAGATAATCTATCCTCTGTCTATGATTCTGAGGATTTGCCGGATTTCTCGCCCGCTCGAATACGTCGTCTTACTACGGATCCTAACTCGCTGCCCGACGCAATTCGTTTCTTGAAGGATATAATTCCTTTGGGACCTCCAATATTAGCCTGCTGCATTGATGGACTCCAAATCTTAGATTATCCGGAACAGTCACATTGGTATCAAGATTGTTTGAAGTCCTTCATTGAAGTTATAGGAACCACAAAACCCCCTCATCCGCGCATCTTGAAGGTATGGCTTTCCACTGATGGATACTGCGAGGCCCTTCAGGTTGCCGTTAATGCCGGCTGGATTGAAGCCGATATTACAAACAGCGAGGACGACACAGAGCCTCTGGAGATAGATCAATGGATGTAGCTAGGGGTATTTGATCCTTTGTTTTGTATCCATATCGCACATATCAAACACAATCTGGCTTGTAGGAGCCTCTACCGGAATTAATATTGATAGATTCGGAACATTTTCATTGAGTTAAGCAATAGTACACAGACCTGTGGGTTAACCCCTGCTCACATTTGCGGCAGAGGGTAGTAGATACCTACGCTCCGTATTTATGATCCAGTAGAGAGAAAGCAAAGCAATGAACCACGAAGCTCTATAAGTAAACCACTCAATGCTAGAGCAGTTTAGGCAAATGTTCTTCATTCTAAACCTGCTGATTGGCTCGGAATATCACTCGGACTTCCTGGAAATTCTATGTTAGACTTTAGACTCAAGCGAAAAACAAAACAAGCAGCCGCTCTAGCTGGGGCGATTTTGTCCGCTGACGTCTTAGAATGCCCGAAACACTAGCGCCTTCATGCCACCACCCTAACATTTCAAAACTAACATCTGAAAGCCGACAGCCAATTCCGACTTCAGGGCTTCAGCGGCTCCAGTAATACAACTAAGCCCAAAGTGCCAGCAACGAAAGCTTCTTGTCAAAGGCGTCACATCTTATCTTGTACACTCTTGAGCAATATCGGTTTAGTAATTAAGCGTGCCATCTTTGTTTTTCATCGATCAAATGGCTTCTAAAAGGTGTCTTTGCGATGATTGAGCGTTGAAAACTGGCGCTTTAGCTTCCCCTCGAGCACTAGCGCCATCAACATTCATTGTATGTTTTCAGTCATCGCAGTCTTATAGACCCTAGAACTAGCGGAAGCGTTTACTGTAAACCGACTTAACAGCTTACGACCCCGCCATCATGGACAAAAGTTATGAGACTCTACAAATTGTATGAAAGCAAGGGTGTAACTAACTATTTTATATGTGTGATATTCACTGTTTGTACTACTCTGTGCCCTGAGGGTATTCCCCGAGGGTGATACCCGTGGGTATCTAGCCTATCTAGCGCCATGCAGGAATGACTTATTGTTCATGCGCGTACGTACTGGCGTATGTAAGTGTGGCTATCTCCACACAAGATGTCATGGATAGCGAATAGCATCTAAGAATAGTATTTTGCATTACATTCAGTTGAATGAGGCCGACGCGGAATACCCCATTTGGACTCCCGTCAATCCCAGAAATTTGAATCAGAGGCTGAAGGTCGTGCCAACTCAGCTGTACTTATCAAAGAGGGGTACACTGCACTGCGTGTGACGGAGCTACTACCTAGCGTGCACTAGCTGGGCTGCCTCGCACTGGCGGCGGCGTGTTTCATCTGACGCATATCATTGAGAGCGCAATTACATCCAACCATGGACACGTCTTTTTGGTAGAGAAAATCCCTCCTTCCTTAATATTTTTTCTTACACCCCAACTAATGTCTCGCAGGATATCTCAGGGCTTGGAGATATATCACCACGGAGTCAAGGTATTCATGGGGAAATCATCAGTTAAGGAAAACTGCTCGAGTGTATCTCTTTTTCAATGGGGGCAAATCGTCCCCGAACGCAAGGCTGCCCGACGCATGAGATGAGACAGATTGCTATAGATGTAGCGGGGTTTAATGACACCCGCATGAAGTTCTTCCTTCTGTGGATCTGTCTCATCTCAAGCCTAGGCACATATCTGATCAAGCCTATTCTTATAAACAGGCAAAAATAACCAACAAGATTCTCAAAAGGTAAAGGTAATGATCTAGTTTTCTCATGTCATGCTAATCGAAAAACGAGAATGTCGCAATTTCATGATAATCGTTCTTCCCACACTGCCCCTGCATTATTATACAATCAGATCCACGATCCCATGTAGTCTTGTGCCGCGACAGAGCAAGAATCTCATCTCGAATAGTAAGAATAAGGTAGCCCTAATATGACATTAATATAAGTATTTGCAAGGGACAGACAGACAATATACTCACACCTGCAGTCATCTTCAAAACAAATCAAGTGATTGTGAGGTTGCCACCCCTTGCATCGCCTCCCTTTGCAGCGCCCCCGGCATTCGCTCTGGCATTGCCTCCCGTCCCTGTCATCTTGATGTTGGCATCCGCACGGCTCGCCGGCATCTGAATGTTACCACCGGTGCCGCTACCGCCGGTGACAGTTTGGCCGCCGCTTCCTCTCCAGCATCCATAATGTGCATCAGCATTGCCACCGGTGCCAGAAGTATCGTATTCGGGTCTGCGGTTGGGAGCGGCCATGGTAGCTAGGATTGTTCGCGTAGCAGTAGATAGTTGTTTGTGATTTGGGAAACTTCTGTGAAGGCAGGGAAAGAAGGAGTATTTATGTTGCTTCGAGGCATTGTCGGTTCAAGCTACCGTAGGCATGTTTTGTAGGAGGTAAAAACGTACTTCGCTTGGATCAACATCTAGACTACGTGATCTGCACCTCGGATCTAGCGTGGGTGTAAAAAAAGAAAAGAAAAGGAAGAGATGAGAAAGAAAACAGATATCTCTATACGGAATAGAAAAAGAAAAAGGAAAAGGAAATAAGCAAATATGCTTCTCATATGCAATCTTACGCAGCGTCTGCTTCAGGATGAGGGGGTCATATTGCGCCTTGTTCATGGCGATATTCCGGTTGGACAAGGTATTCTGCGGGGAATCATTGGCTCGGGGACTCCGCTCGAGTGTATCTTTTTTCAACGACAGAAATGTCGACCTCAACGCAAGGCTGCCCGATGTTGTGTACCTCGCGGGGTTGATAATTCTTCTCTTGAAAATGTCTCGTCTTAAACTCAGCCGCGTCGCTGATCAAGCCCATACTCACAAGCTCGCCGGAGAATCTACGGGATTGCAAAATGTCGTCACCTGGACTGTATGATATGAGTGGAGATAAGGAGGCAGAAACTGTGTAGGTTTGCTAGAAACATTCGACTTCCATCGCGACCAGGCTAATAGATTCGAAGCATCGTTGCCGTGCATGGACTTGGCGGGGACTATCTCAAGACATGGGAGTGTGAGACGAACGGATGGAACTGGGTTCGGTCGTCAATCGAGCCGAGGCTTCAACAAGAAAGGGGCATCAAATCACGAGTCCTATCATTTTCGTATGCCGCGAAATTGATGTCCACCGAGTCGACCGAGAATATCAGACAAGTGGCAAAGGTCTTGTTGGAAGGACTGTACGTGAAAATGAACGAAATGAAGCACAAATCCCTCGGTATTGTTTTCATCGCTCATAGTTTGGGTGGCTTGGTTGTGAAGAAGGTATTCTCTCCTTGTTTGAATTCTCCCGAAACCCCATCAATCCACGAAAGACCTGTATGGATATTCTGACCTGGATACCGGCTTCTACATAGGCATTGAACATCGCCTCTTCCATCCACAACAAGCGGTATGAGCATCTTCCCAGCAGCGTACGAGGATGTCTCTTCCTGGGCGTACCGCACCATGGCGCGGGTCTAGCATCCGTGGCAGGCTGGGGGTCCTGGCTTTTGGGCCCCTTTAAGAAGTCCAGCTACGTAGAGGATCTTCGTAAAGACTCCCCGGCCTGCCAGGAAATCAGCGAGGACTTTGTTCAAACCGCCAAAGACTTGAAGATTAGGACATTCTACGAAGACCGGCGGCTGAACGGTTTACTTGTGAGACGCCCTCCCCCGGTCAGATGAATCACTGGTAGCTGACTCGCGGGTTCAGGTGGTTCAACCATATTCTGCGCAAATGAATCAGCTAAGCGAGGTCGCGACGATGTTACAAGGATCCGACCACCGTACGATTTGCAAATTCCGCGGAGACGATGATGTACGTTACGGAGAGGTATGGGCTGCGTTGGTAGAGATCATCTCATTCGAAAAACCGAGTATGTTCTGCCTCCAAAGATACCCGTGCAATGAACGCTAATATGTAACTAGCCCCTTCCATCGATATAGTTCCTGATGGTTTGCCAGGCCCAGATCCCTCGACCTACGAAGCCAATGCGGGATCTGGGGATGGAGGCTACGCAGACTATGGGGATAGCACGGGAGGCAGAATTACGGAGGCTTCGGTCAGCCTTGAAGAGTCTCTCGGGGGCCACGGATTCGGTGGAAGTGCCAATGGATACCACCACGCCATTGCAGGGGGCGCTGAGGGAGGTTCAGCATGTGGAAAGAATGCTCGGGGAGGAAATGCTCGGGGAGGAAAGGCTACACTGGCTAAATATAGGCCAAGCCACAATTGAGTTTGACTAAATCTGAAATCTTGCCCCATCTAACGCCTAAAGAGCCTCTCCTTCATCGATCGGTGCTCCTCGTGTTTATGAAAATTCCCCGATACCGCTAGGCCCGCCTTCACTGATCCATGCACGTTGTTCGCATTTCCGCCAAAGCCATCCCCGCCCGCCCCATAATCCCCCCAGGCATCTCCTCCAGTTCCACTGCCTGCCTTGGGGTTCCCCGATGGGTAGAACATGCCGCCGGTGGCGTGGCCTCCATGGGCGACGGCCTGATTGCTGCTGTTGGATTTCGCCTCGCCTCCCATACCAAAGCCGCCAGTGGCGACGATTGCCTTGGTGTTGTTGTGGATGACCAGAGTGTCTCCGGGCTTTAGAACCTCTCCAATCGGAGCGTACAGGTTGGTGAGCTTTTTGTTGTTGTAGTAAAGAGTCAGTTCCCCTATGAGTTTTTGAGTGGTCTGTATATAGGCCTGCAATTGTCGGAGTGTCATGTCATCCTCTTGCTTCACCTTGACGTCTCTGTCGTTGGCGTCGGCTGTTGGGTCATTATTATCATTGAATTTGAGTAATTAGATATGGGATCTGCACTTGCCGCCTTTGATGACGCAGATGAATTCGATCTCATTGGCTTCGTCGTACTTCCCCATTTTGGCTGGGAAAAGCGTGTATTGGGGTTTGTGTTGTGAGTCTTGATTTAGACCCAGAGAAAAGGTTTGATATGTTGTATTGCGATTGCTTTCTTTGAGGTAGAGTCGCTTCTTATTCCAGGGACATGGGTGGGGAGAGACTAAGCTTTTATAGCCAAGAATGGGCTCCATTGCCTTACCTACCCTATCCTAAACTACTATCGGAGCTCAACATATCCTCAAAGAACGTACATACTGCACTTACTCTTTCATAGCCACCGTGTCCATATCTGCAATCTGCGCCCCATCTAAGGCTCGATTTCGGCCTGAAATACCTTTTCAATAGGCTCTGACGTGCAGTTGGAGGGTGGCGTAAACACCATAACAGTCGCCTACATGGACCAAAGAAATCAACGGCAAGACGTCGGGATTTCATCGGTCAATTGAACTGTATATTGCAGTTGATCTTTCCGGTCTGAGATATGGTGATGGTGGGTTACCAGGCGACACATCAACCCCAGTAGGGTTAATTTTAGACCCTAATTGCTTTCTTTTTCGGGATTACCCAAAGAAGAAATAGACTTCCAATGCAAAAGATCTTTTGTATGCATGATGTAGATATAGTCAGTAATAACAGTATCACCATGTAATTTACAGACATGTACCATGTCTATGCAATGTGAAGTCCTTCTTAGGCATCAGCACTCTAACATGTCACACGGGTCAAATTCGACCCCGCAGTAGTACCTGACTCGTGTGTTGTATATGTGATCGGTAATGATTTGCTGAGCTGGCGAATATCGTGCATACTAGGCACCGTCTCAAAGGCCGACCTGTCGGTGGGTTGCCAGGCATTTCTAAACTGTTATTTCTTTTTCCGGATTACTCAAAGGAGAGATAGATATCCTATGCAATCCAAGTAATCTACAACCTCATTTATATGCAACGCGATGGCCTCCTTCTCCATTCAACCCCGCCGTAGCCTACTCTTATGAACACTCCGTATGTGATTGAGAACTGATTTACAGAGCTGGCTGATAAGACACATTGGTAGGCACCGCCTCACAGGCCGACCTGTCGAATAGGCAATGAACAACAGGCAATATCCGAAGTCCGAGTATAGGAATAGTATATTCAAATTTAGCTACATAACTACAAAGTTTGGATCAGTCTCACTGCGGGAATCAAGCAACTCAGCCGCACCACCCTAATCACAAGCGCTGCTGTCGTATTCCCGTCCCATCCCCTCAGCAGAGAGGCCGATCAATCGACTGATCCCCCCAAAAACACTCAGCTCAAAGATATGGATCCTCCCGACCCATTTCCTCCCGATACAGTCGATGAATCATTCCGACCCGCCGTAGTTGTAGTTGTTGAGGTAGCGCTCCCACCGCTGCCGTTGCTTGTGATGTCTCCGGTATGAAAGGTCTTGGTGCCGTTATTATTGTAGGTCACTGTGTTCCCGCAGTTTGTGTTGGTGGTGTTTCCACAATTGTTCAATGTCGTGTTGCCACAGTTATTGCTCCAAGAGAAGCTGTTCCCGTTACTGCTCTGGGTCCAAGGCGCGTTTGTCCATGCCCATGGATTTGTGTTGCCCGGGTTGTTTCTCGCAGAGCTCGAAGTATAATATGGGTTCGACATGTTTTGAGACGAGATAGACAAACTCAACTCAAGTGTAGGGATGAGTAGGCGAACAAGCAAGTCGACGAAACAGATATAGGTGTAGAACGATTGTCTAGAGGATCAAACCAGCAGGGAAACGCCCCTTCTTATACAAGAGATCGAATGTGTCTCTCGAACTTTCTCTCTCAATACGACCTGGCCATGCTTTTATGCGTCCGTGTCACACCGCATTCCCGCCATGCAGGTTTGTTAATGGCAAATCTTGGTGGTTCGAACTGCAGGTCCCAATGCATAGAGCACCTAGAAAGATTTGTACGTATAAAGTAATACTTTGTATGTGCATGTGAAAGAGATCGTTTAATAAACTCATTCTAGATTTAGAGGAAATATGATCCACCAGGTAGATCGGATTGGGTTTGATATCTGGCCATAAGTGTAAATAGAACGTTCGGCTTCAGCTGCTTTCAAAGCGGGATGGTGAAAAGGAGAAGAAAAAACAAAAGTAAATAAGCAACATAACAATGAGACTATGGTGGTTTTCAAAACTTGGTTTCAGTGTCATACAAATCAGGTTTACAATATGCACTCCTTGGGTCAGAGATTAATGCGAAGGGGTCGGAGTGTCGAGATCCTGACCCTCCTTTGAGATTTCCTGACCCTGGGTGTCTAAGGGCTTTTAAGAGTGTAAGAGATTGCTTCTTAACCTCAGAGGAGTAGGTCATCTTGAAGAGGGTCGGGATTCTGACACACTGACCCCTTCACACTAATTCCTGACCACTTCTTCATTGTACTTTCCTCGGAAATATACATAGCGAATATCAGCAGCTGAGGAGTGGGCAATGCGCTCTTAATCTCTTATTTGTCGTCAATGCTTATAGGTTTTACAAATATAGACCTCGAACCTCTGCACTAAAACCCTATCTTCAAGCCAATGAAGATCAATTCAGCTCTCGATAACTATTCACAGAGAACAATGCATTATGTTGAGGCGCGCTATATAAAGCAAGCAAGCAGAACAGCAAAACAGCAAAAGAAAGTAAAAGAATACGGTAAAAATATATTTTATTGACTATCTAGAGTATAAAGTAAGATAAATAAAACAAGATACTTGTTATGGCAGTCTAAATACTAACTATATAACCAAGCTTGGAGTATTTTACTAAGCTAATTTGAGCGGACCGCATTATTATAATGGGGCGGACCCTTTATTATGGGTTAAGCTTATCCCATCTTCAAATCCATTTTATTTTTTCACCCTCACTTCTTTTCTCTTCTTTCCACTCAAATCCGATTTCCCAATTTCATTTCAAACTTCGCTTTGCTTGCATAATTCCTTCCATCGACTGTAAGATATCTCCCACTTCACCTTGGATAAGCCCTTGCCAAGAAAGCCATCTCATCTCCTGGTCTTAAGTGCCGAGATGATTTTGGATAGATCTCTCACTCTGTCCCACCAGCATCCTTCAGAATAGTCTGCAAGATGTCAACTTTTACGGCCTGGCAGGCTGATCTGTTCCTTTTGGTAAGACTTCTTACCCAGCGATTATATGCATGTTTTGACGATATTCCAGGAGCATTGGCAGAAAGATTTGCCGCTATCCGTTGAAGCCCAACGCGAGGAAATATTCGCTAAATACGTGGCACTCGGAGTCTGCGGCCGCGAGGTAAATCTGATTTCAGCCTCCCATTCTTCCAACCAGAAAACTAACCTATCAAGTTAGCCGTATCGAAACCAGCAGCGAAGACTAGAGAAGAGGTCTGTTCGAGGCCTTCCAGTACCTAGTCAAGAGCTACTGGCTCGTATCCGCCTACCTGCTGAGCGTGACTTGAACGAAGATCCATGTTGGCTCCGCACCTGCTACGACCCTTCTACAGAAGGCTCGTGGGCCCGGATTCAAGATTACATCGATACCAAGGTCGGCGGTCCAGTTACAGTTTTCAACGACTCATCTTTGTATAACTTTGGTCCCAACTGGGAGAAGATCTTTCTTCGTGTTCCACAGCTATTGGATAATACTTGTTTGTTTGAAGAATATGAAGAGAATGTTCAGGAGGCCCTAGAAGAGGGAATTGAATCCGACGAGACGGATCCCCATCGTGCCGAGGAAAGCGGCTATGACCCAGAGGAGGATGGCAACCCTTGGATTTGCTTTTATTCGGAGTACCTCTTCCGTTTAGCGGCGGGACACATCTACATCGTTGATGAAAAAACGTTGGCCTCCGAAGGCGCTGACGCAGGGACTGTCCTCATCATCTGGTACGACGAGTGTGGACGAGCAATCCGTTACTATCGTGAAAAAGCGATGCACGCAGCCGAAATTGCGAATCTCGACCCTTGTTATCTCAAGGAACGTGCGTGCTGGAATAATGCGGAAATTGGCGAATCCTATAAGTGGGGTGCACCCTTAGGGCCTCCCTATAGACTGGAATGAACCGCGAAGAACCCTCTGAGTGGGAGATTGCATCTCAATGGGCTCACCTGAAATACAACGATTTTAGCTTCAATTTGTACAACCAATACATACCGTCTATAGCTGGACATCAACCGCCCATCTATAACCTCATGTGTGAAAGAAAAGAAAAGAAAAGAAAAGCAGAAATCAAGAATTGTATCACGTTGTGGATGCTTAACTGATTCTCGTGAGCTACCGAGCCGGATACGTGAAGTCTACAGCAACATAGTTACTGATAGGACATTCTACTTTACCCTGTTTATAGAATGACAATGAAGGACCTCAAGTACCAAAGAGGAGTGAGTAATCGTGGTATTCGAATTGAATATAAAGAGATAAACACTCGCGAAATATTTCACACTACTTATGCCGTAAAGTCTGTCTGCAACAGCCATGCAGTGTATTAAAGAGAACAAAAGAATATTTCAGAGTCAGTACCGGCCATCGGATTAGACAATATACTATCGCTTCCCACGGGTCTTTGATGCCCTGTGCCCTCCGGTAACTGAGTCCGTCAGGTCTTCTCCGACGGCAGCGATTTGTTAGGGTTCCAAAAGTGGAAATTGAAAGAAATGACCTCCGGCTGCTCTGCCGGATTCCATTTCCCTCAATCGAACAATGCCTAAAGACATTCTCTGGCTGACCAGCATTGACTCCCTACATGATTTTATTGTAAAGGATACATTACCTATACATGTTGGCAAAATGGCTGGTGAGCAAGAGAATAAATGGTTCACAGAGCAGCTTCCCCTTTACATCCGAACACTGACAGGCCGACGCCGCGATAATGTCTATGGGAGTGTTCTTATTTATGAAATTGCTTTCCAAGTAATCGGTGACTACGCAACATCTCAATTTCATCAAGGTATACACGAACAACACCGGCCCTAAATACAATCTTTCCAGAGTGTCCACCAGCCGGCCGACGGTTCGCCAATGGGAAAGATTCCCGCTACTGGGAGCAGCCGAGGGAAACGCACCGGAAGGGAAAAGCCTCCACTGCGGAGCTAACAGGGCTGCTAAAGACCCTGTGGTTCCAATTGTGCTTTTTCAACCTTTTCCCCGACCATATCAGAGCACTTTCTCATCACCACATTGGCATCCAGTCAGACTTGGGCTCATGGGGGTAGCCGTATGCTCAAATTAGTTCCTCATCCCTCGTCTGACCTCTACATTATATCCTGGTTGTGGGCACCTTGGGCTTAAAATTCTTTCTGTGTGTTTCTCCTTAGCCGGCAACCCCCCGCTCATCCTGCATTGCAAATAGAGGGGTGATATCACGCACATACGGTTAGGCCCCTTATAGCCGAACGGCCTGCGGTAGCTCGATACCTTTTCTATCGTCGAAACGGCGATAAAATGAGGTCTTCCGCCGATTTAGACATAGAAAAGACGGACGGAAACCGTGAAAGCAACAACATTCCAGCCTTGCCTGTTTCTCATTGTACAGATTCTCCCCAGTTTGGAGAAAAGGTCCTGGATGGTACAACCGACACTCGTGAGTATCGTGAATCTCATGATGAAAGTCCAGCCATCAACGTGACGGAGGAACAGTCTCATACAGGGGTCCAACACGATTGCAGCCTACCGCAGGCAGAGACAACGCTTGAAGATGGCCTCCAGAGACCCTCGTCTGGAGCGTCTGGCTCAGACAGCTCCGCACACAGCGCCCCGATGACTCGAGTCACAACGGATGCAGATGGAAACACTTATCCTGAAGGCGGTTTGGAGGCCTGGCTAGTTGTCTTTGGTAGTTTCATGGGTCTCTTTGGCTCCCTTGGCTTGGTGAACACCATTGGAACTTTCCAGGCCTACATTGAGGATCACCAGCTGAAAGAATACAGCTCTGGAACCACGGGCTGGATTTTTGGCATGTACGCCTTTTTGACCTTCTTCTGCGGTGTACAGATAGGTCCAGTCTTCGATGCCAAGGGTCCTCGATTCTTGGTCTTTTCGGGTGCCGTACTGGTCATCATCATGATGGTAGCTCTGGGTTTCTGCACCCAGTATTGGCATTTCATGCTGGTCATCGGTGTCGCTGGAGGTATTGGAGCCTCGCTCATCTTCACCCCCGCAATAGCCGCGATCGGCCATTTCTTCAACGAGAAACGTGGCGTTGCAACTGGCATTGCTGCCACAGGTGGCTCCGTAGGAGGTGTTGTCTTCCCTCTTACCTTGGAGGCCCTGTTCCCCAAAATAGGTTTTGCATGGGCAACCCGGGTGGTTGCGCTTCTTTGCCTTATCTCAGTGGCCATTGCGTGTTTGTTGATCAAGTCTCGATTGCCCAAAAAGCCCGCTGTAAAGGAAAATATGCTGCCCGATTTTCGTATTTTCCGGGAACCAAAATTTGCTCTTACCACCGCTGGCGTCTTCTTCATCGAATGGGGCCTCTTCATTCCGATCAGTTACATCTCTTCCTATGCCTTGGCTCATGGCGTTTCCTCCAAATTTTCGTACCAGATATTGGCGATCCTCAATGCGGGTTCATTCTTCGGTAGAGGGATCCCTGGGTTTGTGGCTGATTATTTGGGACGGTTCAATACGCTCATCGCCACGGTTGCGTTATGCCTCGTCTGCAACGCGTGTCTCTGGCTTCCGGCCGGCAACAGTGTACCTGTCATGGTGGTGTACTGCGTTATTTTTGGTTTTGCAAGCGGCAGCAACATCAGTCTGACCCCTGTTTGCATTTCTCAGCTGTGTAAGATCGAGAATTACGGCAGGTACTATGCTACCGCGTACACGATTGTGAGTTTCGGGTAGGTTATCATGTACCTGTCAGGGTTCCACAAGTATGAGCTAACCACCTTCTACAGCACGCTTACGGGCATTCCAATCGCAGGAGAGATCCTGTCCCGGTGCAGTGGCCAGTATTGGGGCTTGATTACCTTCACGACTTGCTGCTACGCTCTTGGCCTCATCTGCGTCACGTTGGTCAAGGTAATTCACGTTGGCTGGCGTCACCCACTAGCGATATACTGAGGGAATAACATCCGAATCGGGCATCCATGACTATCTATGCGACAAAATGAGCAATTTACCTGCCGCTACTGACGGGAAAAAACAAACAACAAAAGCTTACCCACTATTGTCTAATAGACTCACGAACCTAACGATCCCCATGACATTTAAAGACATGGAATCTAGAGCGGTCCAAACATGGTACCGTCAAAACTCTTAGCTTAAGCCCTGGCCTGTGGCTATCTGCCGCACATCAATGTCTAATCCTTACAAAATCACTCAATGGACCCATCAGATCGAGTAGCACATTACCTTCAAGCCCAGAAAATAAACCGACTAGAACAACCACCAAGACCAATCGTGAGGTGACCATAGACCCTAATTCTCTGGTGCGGCGTCACCATGATAGCGACATCATCGTCTAGAACCCCCATGACATCTATCAAGCATCATGCCGTTAACTTTCACATGACTATATAAGCCCTCTTCAATCTCCCCTTTAGCTGCGACGCTTCAAGCCAGGTCAATTGCAGCCTCTCCCTTTCAAAGTCCCCTCTCCATCTCTCTTTTCCTTCTTCTATACTTAAACCCATACATCAAAGAAAGCAATCCATCATGTACCTCCGCACCTCCCTCCTCGCCCTGGCCCTCGCGTCCGCCGCCCTCTCCGCCCCCGTCGACACCGTCGACAATGGCAACGCCCCAGCCAGCGTGCCCGCTCCCACCGCAGCCCCTGGCCAACCCGGGGATGTCAGCGCCGCCAGCATCCCCGGCTTCCCTGGCATCACAGCCACCGTGACCATCACCATCTCGCTGCCCTGCGCCGGTGTCACCGCAACCATCGGCCCCGCCGACAAGGGCCTCGAGGCTCGCGCCACAGACGCAGTTCCTAGCTCTAGTGCCTCTGCCTCTGTGATCAAGCCTACCAGCAGCAGCATCAGAGCCCTGTCTACCTGCGTGGCCTCGCCTTCTTCCACTGGCGCTGTAGTGTTTGGCTGTGCTGACGACGACGACGATGATGATGATGATGACGATGACGACGACGATGATGATACTGACAATGGGAATGGGAATAGGAATGGCCCCTCATTCATCCGGAAGCCCATTCAAACCACTATTTCCACTAAGACATCCGTGACTTCAGTCCCTACTGCTACCTCAACAACCTCACAGAAGACGACTGACTCCGCGGACCCATCTGCAACTGCTACTGCTACTGCTACTTCTACTCCCGCCATTCTACTCCCAGCACCAACTGAGACCTCTTTAAAGGGAAGCGATAGCACTACCACCACTACAGAAGCTACATCCAAGACTAAGACAGACACCGATCCATCATCTACATTTCTCACTCTGCCTTCCCCTTCGTCTTCCTCTTCGGCAGCAGACAAGACCACCACCAGCAGCACCACAGAGAACCCATCCCAAGACCCATCAACTACAGCTACTGCTACAGCTACAGCTAGTGACTCCACATCCGCCTCTGAAACCGAAACCAAAACCAAGCAAGCCACCACAAAGTCTTCTCAAGACCCAAGCATCACGTCTACATCCACTTCTACATCCACAACCGAGACCAAGTCCACACCCACAACCACAACCAAGAAATCCAAGATCAAGCGCGGATTCGCAGCAAACGCTACGGGTATTATTGAGGTTCCGCCGTTGAAGCCGAAGCCTACTGGTGGTCGTTAAGAGCGGTATACGAAAATGGGTATTTGAATTAATTAGTTAAAGGGAGATGGGGACGACGGAAGAGGGGTGAAGTATTTGCTAAGTTGGTAGTTTAGGTAACATCTTTTGAAAGTTTGGAGAGAGCAGGGATAAAATCAAAAATTGTTTGTCGGTTGCTTGGTATCATATCTCTCGTTCTTTCCTATGTTTAGCTAGTTAGATTCAAATGTCTTAGTTTTGGTTCGACTTGATTCATTCGTTCGTTCGTTCTTTTGAGGGAGGCATAATGGGTATAGAAGGTAGGTCAGGTGCGTAGGCAGTTGTTCTTAGATTGTTCCGTGGTGGGTAGATAGTAAGAGTCTCACACATACACACACACACACACACACACACTCTCTCTCTCTCTCTCTCTCTCTCTCTCTCTGTGTGTGTGTGTGTGTGTGTGTGTGTGCTCTGATTGGTGGTTGAGGACAAAGAACTAAAAAGTGCACTGTATTAACTCCACAGAAATTGATTCAGATTGCGCCTGGTTCTACCTACTTAGCTACCTAGCTACCTTCATTGCTTTTGCTCTAATCGATACCACGAGAAAATATGACTTCCTTGATCCAACGTCCCTACTACAAGGGAAGAGTGTCGGCATACGCCGACAGTGTGAAAATGAAAATGTAGAAGAAAAGGAAAAGTTATGGCTGATTCAGGTCTTCCTGATCCCCAACCAAGGGGCTCATCTGCTAGTGTGAAAAGATTAAATACAATACAAATAGGAAGGAGAAGATGACTCGGGTCGCAAAAAGCATGCGTTAGAAGGGGGAACGAGTTTAGATGAGAAGAGAAAAAAGAGCTGCCGGGCAAATAACTGGAACATATGCAAGAGAATTTCCGCAAGCAAAAGCAGAAGGATGCTGGCTCCCTTGACCATTGCTTGACTCGCCCGTATTTGTCTTCATTCCATGCCGCAGGTTTATATGGAGAAACCCCGCCTGTGGTTCCTTGCGCCAAACACCTTACACCAGAGGTTTACTGGCATAAACAGTAACAACCGAAATCAAAACACACTATAGTATAGGCAGATGAGAAAGGGAAGAAGAGAGAGGCAAAATGAGAAATGCCATGGCTCGGCTGTCGACAATGTTACCAGCGACAAACGTATGCAAAAGCGGGAAAATCGACCGAGAAGCTGGGGAAACGAAGCGAAAGCGGAAGGCGTATGCGGTGGGACATAAGATGTAAGTTTTCCCCAAGGGAAACTGAGAGGAATAAAACGAGATGGGGTGCCAAGAATAGGTCACCAGGCCAAAGAACATTTCTTACAGGCGCAGCATAAAGAGATAGGGTATAAGGTTTGCATCGAAGCCATTCGGAAAGATGAAAGGAAAACAAGCGAAAGGATATCTTGAGAGCATCTCACGAGCTGTTGGACCGCAGCAGTGCCTGAAAGAACCCGTTAGTATGACAAAGGTCCTTTTCGCAACGGTGCAGGTGCAAGACTCACCCTTTCGACGGCAAGCTCATCCGCTCGGTCATTTGGGCTTGCGAGGCCACCACCACGATTAATGGTACTGGTTGCGGTCACGGATCGAGGTTCCAAACCCGGGCGCTGTTGGCTCTTGCCATCAGGCCCACTGTGATGGACCGGGTGCATTTCACCACTACTTGAGATGCGCGACTCCTTGCTCTTCTCCAAAAGGGAACCACCTAACGTAGCACATTTGAGGATGGTCTGCATCATCTGGTTCTGCTTCAGAGGTTTCGACAGGTACTCATCCATCTGGGCCTGGATACACTTCTCTCGATCACCCAACATGGCGTGTGCAGTTAGCGCGATGATCGGTGTCCGGCTGAGACCACTTTCCCTCTCATACTCCCGGATCTTGCCAGTGGCTTCGAAGCCACCCATGACTGGCATCTGGACATCCATCAGAATAACATCGTAGCGCCGTTGCTTTACGGCTTCTACAGCCTCGAGACCGTTGCTGACGACAGAAACGTTGTGGTTGTGTTTCTCGAGTATCTTCACAGCCAACTTCTGATTGACGTCGTTGTCCTCCGCCAGAAGGATGTCGAACGACCGGGAGTGGTCTGTAGTGATGGGTGTAGACCGTCCCTCAAGAGCAGGCAGCATACCATTACCGAGATCAATCGGCTGACAGGGCGTGGTCATATAGGAGCTGATACCGAGGTCGAGGGCAGACTTCAAACTGACGCAGACCAGCGGGCATACCAAGACAATAGGAACGTACTTGAAGTCATCGAACGTCCGCAGCAGCCGAGCAGTGGCCACCGAGTCCACGATTATCACATCATAGGCATGACCGGATTCTTTGCCGGACGGGTCCTGGATCTCAGGCGGCGGAACATGATCCTCGTTCCGCACCACTAAGGGTTCCAGGTCGATCTGTTTGAGCATCTTCATCACATTCTCGGCCTGGCCACCATTCTCGCCCTTGTCGATGAAAAGGACACGGTGGTTCTTGTACGGCATCAGCTGCGAGGCGATGACGCTCAAAGACTGGTCCGCCAGTTTGACCACGCAGGTGAAGTGGAAGGTACTGCCATGGCCATATTCCGAAGTGACCCAAACATCACCACCCATCAGGTTCACTAGGCGCTTGGAGATGGACAGACCAAGACCGGTTCCACCAAACCTCCTGGTAGTCGATCCGTCGGCCTGCTGGAAGGTGTCGAAGATGAGGTCTAGCTTGTCCTCCTCAATACCGATACCTGTGTCGGAGACGGAGAATTCGAACGCATACTCATCTGCCGCGCACTGCTCTCGATCCGATTTGCAGATGGTGAGCTTGACCTCGCCGTGCTCGGTGAACTTGATGGCGTTGCCGACAAGATTGAGGATGATCTGCCGCAGACGGAAGGGATCACCGATGACATAGTCAGGAACGGTGTTGTCCACCTGGTACGTCAAACTCAGGAACTTCTCGTTGGCCTTGACGGCTAACGTTTTCAGGGCGTTGAAGACGGTTCCCCTCACGGTGAACGGGATGCTCTCGATCACCATACGGTTCGCTTCGATCTTGGAGATATCGAGTATGTCATCAATAATGGTAAGCAAGCTGTTTGCCAGGTTGTGCACGACATTCAACATCTCTCGAGTATACGGCTTGAGATCATCAGTGTCCAAGGTCAACTGCGTCATCCCAATGATACCGTTCATGGGCGTCCGAATCTCGTGACTCATGTTCGCAAGGAACTCGGATTTGGTGCGGTTGGCCAATTCTGCAGCTTCCCTGGCGGCCGTGTTACGTTGAATACTGTCTCGGAGGTTGGAAACCATCTTGTTGATCTTCCGCTTCAACTCATCCATTTCGCCGGATGCGTTGACCGTGATGAGCTTGGTGAAATCGCCGTCCGTGGCGGCATCCGTAATCTCACCGAAGGCGCGCACCTGCGACGTCAGGTTTTCAGCCATGGTATTGACGTCTTCTGTAATCTCCTTCCATGTTCCAGCGATTCCTTCGACGTTAGCTTGACCACCCATCTTGCCATCCACGCCGACATCGCGGGCCACCTTCTTCAGTTCAGTTGCGAATTTGGCCAGTCGGTCAACCATGTGGTTGATGGTGACCTTCAACGTGAGTATTTCTCCTTGTGCATGGACCTCAATCTTCTTGCTCAGGTCACCCTTTGCAATGGCTTGCGTAACGTCTGATATACTCCGCACTTGGGAGGTCAGATTCTGGGCCATGGTGTTCACGTTGTCGGTTAGATCCTTCCATTTGCCTTCCACATTATCAACCTTGGCTTGACCGCCCAGTGTACCATCCGTGCCGACTTCACGTGCGACCTTGCTGACTTCGAAGGCGAAGGTATTCAGCCGGTCCACCATGCCGTTGATCGTGCTCTTCAAATCCAGGATTTCACCTTGGACATTCGCCGTCACCTTCTTTGTCAAATCACCCTTGGCGACGGCGGTGGTCACGTCGGCGATCTCCCTGACCTGGGTGGTCAGGTTGTTGGCCATACGGTTGACATTTTCGGTTAGATCCTTCCATGTGCCCTCCACATCGTTGACGGTGGCTTGACCACCCAGGACACCATCCGTACCGACCTCCTTGGCGATCTTGGTGACTTCTTGTGCGAACTGCCGTAGTTGGTCAACCATGGAATTGATGATATTCTTCAATTCTGCGATCTCCCCCTTGCAGTTCGCCTGAACCTTCTGCGTCAAGTCACCCTTCGCCACAGCCTTGGTAACCGTGGCGATATCTCGCACTTGTGTCGTAAGATTATTCGCCATGGCGTTGACATTCACCGTGAGTTCGTTCCACATGCCTTGTACCCCTTCGATTTGGGCCTGTCCACCAAGCACACCTTCCGTACCGACGTCACGCGCGACGCGGGTGACCTCCGTTGCAAATGTTCTTAGCTGGTCCACCATGGTATTGATCGTCTGTTGCAGTTCCAAAATTTCACCCTGGGCCCGGCTTTCGATCTTCTGGCTCAGGTCACCGTGGGCGACCGCTGTCGTGACCGCAGCGATTTCACGGACCTGATCGGTGAGATTCTTGGCCATTATGTTGACGTTCTCCGTCAACTCTTTCCAGATACCATGCACCCCAGTGATCTGAGCCTGACCACCGAGTATGCCCTCTGTTCCGACCTCTCGTGCGACTCGCGACACCTCGCTACCGAAGACTTGTAGTTGATCCATCATGGTGTTGATTGTACGCTTGAAAGTGGCAATTTCGGGGTCCATCTCCAACGGGTGAATCTGCACCTTCATGGACAGGTCACCATTTGCGACCTGGGTAATGATGCCGCCGATTTCCCGGAGAGCCTTTTGGAACGCTTCGTTGGCCTGCTGGTGCTTGCGTAGCTCCCGCTCCAGCAAGACCACATCTTCGTTTTCGACCTTGGTCAAAGCCCGTCGTGTTTGCTCCTCCTGTTGTTGTAATTCGTCACGGACCTGAGCAATGATATCCTTCTGAAAACTTATTTCCTCCGCTTGTTTCTGGACATGATTCCGTAGGTAGCTGATATCCTCCTCGCGTACCAAACGTGTCCTTGAGTTCAGTTCCTCATCTTCATCACTCTCCTCATCATCGATGTCTTCCTCCACTTCGTGGTCTTCCGGTTCGATGGCCGATCGCCTGGATCCATGGGGTGGTTGTTGTGTTTTTTGATGCTGTGAGAGGCAAGAGTCAGAACCGTCACGGGACGAAACACGAGAGAGACCAAAGGACCAGAGGAAATCAGCGTCCTCCTCGCCGGGAGTGAGAGAGGACTGGGAGGATTTGGGGGTTGACTGGTGGTGACTGACATTTTGGAATTCCAGATGACGGACTCGTCGGACCAAAGCTTCCAACTCCTGTTCAAAAGCCGCCTTTGCCGAACTTGATTCCCCCGGGAGTTTTGCGAGTTTTGTGTCGTAGCCATTGGCGGGAGGGTGGGAGAATTCGAAGTCGAAGGGAGGAGCGCTGGAGGAAGGAGTTTCTTTCGCAAGACCTCTCAGGATGGCAGCAGCGGCCGCGAGCGTTTCGTCCGCGCCAGCCATTGTGCCCTAGGACGTCTCAGTAAACAACGGACATAAGTACATATGCAGGTCGTGAAGAAATTTCTGTTCGATCCCCGATGCGTCTAAAAATTGCCACACCGCATGTGAGAAATATTCAAGGCGATAGAGAGGTGATGATAAAAAATGGTGGCAAAAAATGGAAGATAAAAAAATTCAGAAAGCGCGTAGGATGAAGGACATGAGATGGAGATGGAGATGGGAGGGGAGATAGGAGGAAGGGCGAAAGTCTATCGAGAGGTGCCGGGAGTCGACTCCGAAGATAATAAGATTTGGAGACACCTCAAAAGAGGGGAGAGATGTAAGAAAAGGGAAAACGGTAAACCTCCAGGAAAAATCCAAGAAAAAAGATTTTTGGGAAAGATCCAAAAGGTAAAACAAAATTATCGAGAAACGGAGGTCAAAAAAGGGCGAAGAAGGGGAATGAGGGGAAAGCAATCAATGGAGAATTAATGGGAATGGGAAAAAGGAAGAGGAAAAATGTGGATGTTGGACAATGATTGGACGGGTAGTAAAAGGAAAGAAAGAAAAGGGAAATGAAAAAAAGAGAGAGGTTCGGAGGAGTCGAACGCTGAGGGGGGAGGAGAGAAGAAAGAGGAGGGAAAAGGACCGCAGGGGAGGAAGGGAAAGGCGATGAAAATCGAAATGGATGGATGGGGATGGGGGGGGAGAGGAGAGAGGGAGGAAGGGAAAACGGAAGTAAAGTGGGAAAGCACAAGAATGGTATTCGAACGGGCAGGCTGTGAATTAGCTTACCTGACGGGAAGCCGTGTTACTGACACACGAATGATCGGGCGACACTGCTAGGACGACATGGGGTGTCTTGTGGAGAGGGCGAGAGGTCGAAGAGGTTCAAGATCGGTGGGTTTGTGGTGTGGACAAGGGGGGGGGAAGAAGAAGTGTGGTTGTTGGTGGTGGTCGGGAAAGGCCTTGGGAACAGGACCAAGAAACCAGACGGACGGATAAGATTCAAGCGGGCAGGACAGTTGCAGACAAAGAAGGAAGAGTGCGTGAGCAGCTGAAAGGTCGGGCGGGGAGGAGGGAGAGGGAGAGAGAGTGTGTGAGAGAAGGGGAGATAGAATGGGCACACGAAAGAGCACCGAAAGGGGGCAAAGTTCGGTTTGGACTGGAGCGGAGTGAGGGATTCGATCAGTCAGCGAGAAGGCGAAGGGAGAGCGTGAAAGTGGAAAAGAGGAAGAGCGAAAGTGTGAGGAAAGGGAAAATGAAGAAGCAAGCAGGATTTGGTTGTTTGTGTCGATGCTGCTTCTTTCCTCTGCTGCTGAGGAAGAAGGGGGGGTGAGGGTGAGGGTGAGAGAGAGAGAGAAAGGTGGGAAAAGAGGCGAAAAGCCAGGAAAGTCTAAACTGCAGCAAATAATAATAATAATAACAGCGAGGATAAATAAGAAAAATAATAATAATAATAATAATAATGGGTGTTAAGGATAAGGGAGGATAATTATGTTCGCATGAAGCAGAAAGCGAACTTTCAGTGGACGGGAAGAGATGTGGGCGAGAAATGGAAGAGAGCAAGCAAGCAGTAGTAGCAGCAGCAGCAGCAGCAGCAGTAACGAGATGGGGGGAGGAGAGGGGTTGGACCGATTTGATGGGATGGGATGAAATGGATGGATGGATGGATGGAGAATAAGGACTAGGAATGAATGGATGGCCGGATGGGTTTGGTCTGGTTTGGTTTGGTTTGGTTTGGCTTCGCTTTGGTTTGGGTCTGGTTTTGTTGGTTAAAATCAAGAGTCGGGTTGTGGCCTTCTGGCTGGCTGCTGGTCGCTACTTGCGAAGCTGGTAGCTGCTACTTACACTTTAAGGTACACTAGTTGAACCTCTGCCATCGGTGGCTCTGTCTTCCCTTTTTCCTTACCTTTTCCTTGGGCCTTTTTCCCCTATTTTACTTTTTATTCTATTTTAAATCTTTGGGCCATTTAGTAGTTCTTTATTTCCCACTGTCGCTAATTCTTGTCTTCCCCCTCCAGGAATTAATTCTCAGTTCAAGATCTTCTGTCACTTCCACTAGAATTTGGTAGTAGTACATATCGTTCGCATTTATTCAATACAATTAGACAGAAAGAACTATTTAACTCTGAAATATAATAAAATATCAATCAACAAAAGAGCTAAGTAAAATCAAATAAAATAACCCACACAACAGAAGAAACACCGCCCTAAGGCGGCGATTTCCAAGGAGAAGCCGATGGCGAATCGCTCAGTCGGGAAAGAATCTACTTTTACTACTTGAGTGACTGGCCTGCCAAAGCTGGCAGCAAACCCAACCCAGTAGATAGATGCCTGAGGAACTTTTTTATCTTTTAATTTTTTTATTTTTTTCCAAAAACATCATTATTAGTGAACAGGACCGGAACTTTGCCTGCTTGGGTAAATTACATGATTTCAAACCAACTACTAAACTCATAGACACCATACTAGATACTGACTGGTCAGGCAGGCACCAGGGACCACTAGATGGGTAGAGTTTAGCGGCCTTCAGCGAGGCGTGTCTGGGTCCCCTCCGAAACCGTCCCCCGATGCCGTCTAATCCGCCACGTCCTCTTGGATGTGTGGTGTTTATTTCCCCGCAGAATTCCTACTACTGTATGTTTACAGCAAGTAAGTTAGGAAAAGAAAAGAAAAATAATAAGAATCTATCTGGTCGGTGATCGATGATCGGCTCTATCTATCTATCTATTTATCTATCTGTCACAGAATTCCAGATTCTTGCTTACTTTTTTCTTTTTTTTTTTTCTCCTTCTCTTTACTTATTTCCTTCGCCTGCAATTTTCGCCTGTATGTGCGACCTTGGGTCTCATCTCTCTCCCTTCTCACTACAGAAGCACTAGCAGGTACGCAGCGAGATATGATAGGACCCTTGGGATCCGGTCTCGAAATTCAACAGGCGCCTATTCAAGGTGGATATTGACCACAACTTTTCTTTGCTTTTTTTGAACCTATCGAACTGCCACTATCACCAGGAAAGGAAATCACTAAAGCCACTACCATGTCTCAAGAGAATAATTATAGCAAGTGGTCCCTTGGGTGTCTCACCTCAATATCCTGTATGCCCTGGGTGTGTGTGCGCCTTTGAAACGTGGGTGCGTGGGCATAAGAAACCTCCGGGAAAGAACCCGTCGACACCGTGTCCTACCTCCACAAATTCCACAACCCTCTGCAGGCTTGGTGCCCTGTAACGCACGGGCATCCCTGCTTTTGGCTCGAAGAAGTCAGGCAGGTACGGATGTACTTTTGCTGCGTTTTGCTCTTCATCAAAGGTCCAAAGTCACTTTATACCTTTTGGAGCAATCAACGCTAGTCGATAGTTCTTTTGGGAGTGGAAAGATTAAAAGAGATTTAGCTCCGCCAGAATCAGCAAAGCCACACTCACTCACACGCCCTGCTAAAATTCATCGAAAAGACAGCCCGAATACGCCAATTTTACGGTCAGTCCGCCATGCGCGCGTGTTGATGGTTGACCTTTTCGCTATGCTCCATACCCAGCGTGTCATGATTGGAACGCAGCTGATCGGCTCCAAGACTAGTTGCGATCGATTTTCCGTGGCTCCAGCAAGTTAGCTGGCTTGAGTCGGCCCCGGTTAAGATTACCTATCACACGCCCGACAATTTCATGGCTTGCTGGGTTTGGGAAGGGAAATGCCCGCGGGAGAGGCCATGACAGGATGACAGGGCGAGCAAAATTCCACAGCTCCCCCTGGTCTAAACACTACTGAACAAGGAGGTGCAGGAACAGGAAACAAACCTGCCGCTTTCCATACCACGGGAAGTGGTCCATCAATCTCGTTAACCGTTGATCGGGGATGATCAGGGAGTAGATCAACCAACCCAAGTCTATTCAGGAACGAGGAGGGCACACGGTATAGGCAAGTCAGTAGTGGTACTCCGTACTCCGTCCTACTGCCTAACCAGATAGTTGACCTTGCGTGAAGATCCTCTGTGGATTTGGGTTTTTAACTACCGAGCTGCTGCCTATTTGACTGCATGAATCAGCCCTCGCGTTCATCGGATAAGTTCAGTCTGGAAAATTCCCGGGTCGTCGGATACCTTACGGATCCCCTAAATGCTAGTATGCGAAGTAGCAAGGTCCCAAGACCAAGGTTCGTCGGTCAACTCTGAATTTTAGACTTCCCATCCGGGTTTGAGAACTGAGTCGGGCTCTCGCTCCGAACCGGAGGCGTCGGTCCTCAGCGTCATGGTGGGGGGGGAAGAATGGTGAAAGCGAAGCAAGAGAGGTGTAAAGTATGGGAGAATACACATGGTAGAGGGCAGTGCCAGCGAGTTTCCAGGAAGAATGGCCGAGAATGAGAGGGTGAGGTAATCTTCATACGGGGAATGTGTATCGACAAGATCCCCGAGGCGTCGACGGCGCCCAGTCCAGACCCAACGGTCGCGTGCGAGACCCATCTGCTCCACGGAATGACCAATCAGACCCAGACAAATTCGGAGGGCCTTCTTTAGCCCCACGAGCTAGGCCCGTCTGGGACTCTCATGCGAGGTTCAAGGTTGTTACTGTAAGGATCCCCGATACATACATACAGGTTATCTGTATGTATGCGTGTATCGTCTTTTCTACTCATTGAGGCGGTGCTGCTGTTCTTGTCCAGCGACATGCGAGATGTATCAGACTTTGATCCATCATGGGGTGCTAACAATTTCTTCCCCGGGTGACCGGGGTGGGTTGCGCCTTACCATGCATACATACATACATAGTACATCCCTAAGATTCTGGTCTACCTATTAGCAGTCTCTGGCCACGTCTGGACCATCAAAGTACCAAATATCTGAAGCTTGCTTTGAGAAATGACTTCATGGAAAAACCGACTGTTCGAGATCCGCTCAAAATCTGTCTAAAAAAGCAAGATTTCCCAGAAACGCGGGCCAGTCATGATCCGGTGACATCGATGTACTTGCTGAATGAGTACGTGGAATAGCCCTGGCCACCAATTACTGCAATTAAATGGGCGACTAACTCGCCTTAAGCCTTCGCCTAATTGTCGGATGAGGAGCTAAATTGGCCAAGGCTATCGGACTAAAAGGCGCGGTATCTAGCCCATCTGCCAACAACCACGACTGATGGCAATGAAGCTGCATGGTTTAGACAAACCTTCGTTCAGGTCACTTAGTTACGGAGTCCCCGGATTATGGTCGGAGCCGTTGCGCTTGGGGATTCACGGGAGACAAAAAAGGTCACTAGCGCTGATGCAATCTCCGTCAGCCAGCTAAATAGTCTCAAAACCTTGCTCTTGCTCGTGTTTCGTGGTGAGTTATAGTCGATGCGGAGTACACTCCTCCATATTGGGTAGTGTGGCTGCATGAGATAGCCTCTAGGACTTGCTACTATCTCGGATTGTGGCAGGCTGCAGCTCGTCGAACGGCAGAGGCAGAGGCATAGTCACTACACAACTACTACTGGACAGGGTGCACGTATGAAACCATCCACAATCATCGGCATGGCTGGGAGTAATCATTCAGGATAAATGCAGTGCTCGCCCTGATATTCAGCGTGAGTATGGCAGGAAATGAAGAAGTCGCTGGTGGTAGTAGTATATATTCTTCAGGTTTCGGCCTTTGATCGGTACTACTAGTAATACCACCAGCAGCATCACCATGTCCTCCCGTGCTATATTTACATTGCACATACTCAGCTGCATTTTCCTGTTTCTGTTACGCCCTTTTTTTTTTTCCTGAATATTTCCCCCTCCCCCCAATGCAAGTCGGGAGACAACCGAGTGTTACTAGCGACACCACCACCACCTCAGTAGTTGCAGTTGATCTGATCGCTTGATCTTCAAGCAAGATCATGCGAACATCTTCTGCTCAGCTGCAGAACCGGTCCTCGCGGGGGTGTGGCCAGGAATTAAGCAGCAAAGACCATGGGGTATTGCATTGGCACAAGAGAGACAGACTGGTGACCCCTCATTCTGTGATCGTCCAGGATACATACACATCTGCATGCATACAAACTGCGGAGGGATCGATCTGAAGAGTCATGACATGTCGATAATTAGTGTTTTAATTCTATACTCCAACTAAACTATCAGTAAGAGAAACGCAGCCAAACGGATGGCGGGGTAAAAACCACCGGCTGGTCACGGGACGACACAGCTGGTCTTTGACGTTCGCCGTAATCGACGAGGTGCCCGAAAGAGTCACAATTTCGGAAAGTGGGCAAGTATCTGATTGAAGTCCCCAATCGCACAGTCGGTCTTCTCAGCACCCTTTTACGCCCCTTAGATCCGTGCCTCGGGGTTCACGACTCGCAATCATGGCGACCGATATGACGAGCCCCATCCTGGACGCCCTGTCCGCGTCCGACGCCTCCATCCTCTCCAGCGAAGCCTTCCCCTCCACCCCCTCACTAAACGTCAAGGCCGCCCTCGACCGTCTAGCCTCCCGACAGATGGTCGAGTATGAGACCTTCGACAAAGAGGTTGCTGTATTGACCCCCGAAGGTGAAGAAATCGCCACGAATGGCAGTCACGAAGCCAAAGTGTTCCAAGCCGTGTTGGCTGCCATGGACGGATTGAAGATCGCCGAGTTGCCCGGAGTCGTTGGAAAGGACAACGCCAAGATCGGTCAGGGCAATGCTTTCAAGAAGGGCTGGATTAAGAAGGACAAGGATCTTCTGCGGGCGACGACCGACACCATCGTGGACGAGACCCGCGAGTTGTTGCTGACGGTCAAGAACACCCAGACTCTGAACGACCAGAAGGCCCTTACAGATCTGAAGCGGCGCAAGCTGGTCGCCCTGCAGAAGGTCATTTCCTTCAAGATCTCCAAGGGTCCCAAGTTCGCACGCGAATTCGTCAAGGAGGAGACCGACCTGACCGCGGAGATGCTCATGAACGGCTCCTGGAAGACGGCCCAGCTGAAGCCCTACAACTTCAAGGCCAAGGGTGCCCCCACGCCCGCTGGTGCTTTCCACCCCCTGAACAAGGTGCGCCAGGAATTCCGCAACATCTTCTTCGAAATGGGTTTCGAGGAGATGCCTACCAACCGTTTCGTCGAGACGGGCTTCTGGAACTTCGACGCCCTCTTCGTCCCTCAGCAACACCCCGCCCGTGACCTTCAAGATACCTTCTACATCGCCGACCCGGTCAAGGCCGACCCGCCCCGCGAGGACCCAGAGAACGACCCTCACCGTCCCAAGTCCATCCAGCCGGCCTCGAACGCCGCCCAGGAGAAGCCCCTCGACTACAAGCAGTACTGGGAGGACGTCCGCCAGGTGCACGAGAATGGCAAGTACGGATCCATTGGCTACCGCTACCCCTGGGATGCCGACGAGGCGCTGCGGCTGGTTCTCCGCACACACACCACCTCGGTTTCGACATATGTTCTGCACAAGCTGGCGGCCAACCCCCGTCCGGCGAGATATTTCAGTATCGACCGAGTGTTCCGTAACGAGGCGGTCGACGCCACCCACTTGGCCGAGTTCCACCAGATCGAGGGTGTCATTGCCGACTTTGGTCTCACCCTTGGTGGTCTGATTGGCTTCATGGAGGTCTTCTTCGCCAAGATGGGCATCCACCAGCTCCGCTTCAAGCCGGCCTACAACCCCTACACCGAGCCCAGTATGGAGATCTTCGGTTACCACGCTGGCCTTGGTAAGTGGGTGGAGATCGGAAACAGTGGTATGTTCCGTCCGGAGATGTTAGAACCCATGGGTATCCCAAAGGGCATGCAGGTCTACGGATGGGGATTGAGTCTGGAGAGACCTACCATGATCAAGTAAGTCAGAAACAAACACGATACAGAATGACATTTGATACTAACAATGTACCAGATACGGCGTTAGCAACATCCGAGAACTCCTGGGTCACAAGGTCGATCTCGGCTTCATCGAGTCCAACCCTGCCGTCAGACTTGAGAAGGACTAGATTTAGAAGGCAACGAAATGACTAGAGAAAAAATGGGCAGAACTTCTTACTTATTTTCATGCTGAAACCACCGCCATTGATATCATGACTCCCACATAGATCTACGTGATATAAACCACACAAAACAGGAACCCCGAAAAGAGGAAAAAAAAGAAAGCGAGAACTACGAAACGAAGGACCACGGTTACGAGTAGAAATGAAAAGCATTCAGTTTTTGAACCTTAAGTTTCCTTTTTTCTTCTTCTACTAACTACCTAAGGAGGTTAACTAAATAGATATGTCCCACCCGTATCTGTGCCCCGATGCAAGTCTCAGCAAAGTGGCTCTTCAGCAGGCGGTAAAGCGTAATATTCGGCGGTGGATGTGCGTGTTTTACTTGTCTACCTCCTGACTCATGGGATGTCCCCTGACCCACAGAAAAGAAGGACAGAAGAGGAATCCAGATGACGGTTCCCTTCTTCTGCTTTCTCTTCCGGGGGTTTATTGGGGGCGGAGTGAGGAAGCCTTGATGTGCCGATGATAAGATATGATATCTAGTGTGTGTGTGTGTGTGTGTGTGTGTGTGCTTGCTACAACAGTACTCCGTACCAGACGAGAAAAAAAGAAAAGGAAAGGGCAACCCCCAGAAGAGAGATGAAGGCTGCTTCCAACCGAGATGATAAAAAGGGAATTAAAAAAAAAATGAAAGCAGGATGGAAATTGAATTGTTGATGGAAAAGTTAAGAAAAGTTTTTTCATTTCATTGTGAAAAGGATTCCCTTTTTTGTTGTTGGAGATATAGTTAAATATCTTCATCCTATACCATCAATATCATTAGCCTTGCGCCCCCCTCTGCAAACTCCTACGTAGTAGAAGACATAGATAGATATGTAGGTAGATAATTAGATAGTTGGTAACGTACCATCATAAATAACCACCCACTTCCAAATTTCATCCCAACACCGCACGTCACTCTCTCAAACAAAGGAGGAAAGAAAAGAGCTTAGCGCTGACGGGCAGCGGTCCAGACGTTGCGGATGTAGCCGTCACGCTGGGCAAGGCGGTTCAGGGAGTCATCGCTCTCACCACGGGCACGGATGAAACCGCACAGAGCGTAGGTGTGGTTCTCACCGGTGTAGCGGCCGTTCTCGTCAACCTTGGCGATGGAGATCTGGACGGAGGCGTGGTCGTTGGCCTTGATGATGCGGTTGGTGGCGCTGCACTTGCGGGGGACGTAGCTGTAATTGCATTATTAGCATTTTTGCGTTTTCCTAGTCTTGTTTCCTTTGGCGATTGCGCAGTGTGTGTTGGTGGGTGATGGTGATGGTGATGGTCATGGAGATATGCGATGCGATCGGTGTTCAGTATTTCCTCCTCTTGTTTTCACCGTCTCCGTATATTTCGTTCAGGTCCGTCTCTTTTCCATATCGTAGATCCAATTCAATCCAGATCGGACTATGTCCTTTTCCTCTTCGTCGACCGACAAATAATGTCACCCCATCCATCGCACATATCCGCGATATGTGATCGCCCAATCCATATCATATCATCGTGTATATCGACCACCGAATCGCATCCATATCTCCATACCCATCTCACTCAACCACATCACAACTCGAAGCAATCAATTTGGAATGAATGGATACATACAGATCGACGATCTCTCCCTTCTCGTTCTCCATTTTGACGGTTGTTTGGGGGGGGTGGTTGAGGTTGACGACGGTGAGAGGTTTTGCGCTGGCGGGTTAAACTGGCGGCGGACGGTGCGTGTGAAATTCCACTTGAATCTTTCTGGCGAACGCGGGTTGTGGGTCATGTGATTGTTTGTCGAGGGCTGATGACTAAGGTTTTTTTGCCGGGTGGGTTTGGCTTGTCTGGATTGGTGGGCGGTGAGGGTGTGTGCCTGGTGTGGCGGTGTAAAGAACTTCATGATTGGAATGTGGCTGGTGAGATGGTGGGTGAGAGTTGTAGTATAAGGTAGAGTGATGATAAAGAGAGGATTATACACGAGAATTTAGTCAATTTGTAGGCTCCTACTCAGGATATCTGGTATATTGTTCTCATCTCGTTCTCACATAGTGAGCACCCTTAAGAGATTAACAAATTCGATAGTGGGTTTGATACATTAATATGACGGACATAAGTTATTGACGAGTTGTGATTACTGAGGTAGTAGTATAGTTCGGCATCTAGATGCTCTATATGATACTACACAACAAGCCGGCTACTGGCGATCTACCCATATTCAGCTACAAACGGCTCTCCTCAAATACATCCTTCTTCCACCGCACCACAACCTCTCGAGGAACCCCCTTGATGAACTTTAGCTGTACAACCCGCTCCGTATCCCCTTGTCGACCAGTACCCTCCAGCTCCGGTCCAGGATGATCCAACTTCATCACAGTCCGGCCATCAGACCCAATCTGCAGCGCCTTCGGACAAATACACTTGTCCGTCCACGGCGGCTGCCCCGAATGAATGAACTGCAACAATTCCTCTCGCTGCTTCTTCAACTCCTCAACAGACTCCATACCCGGTGTTCCCTGGTTCAGAAACTCCGCCATCAAATGAAGCAGCATGAACTGGGGCGGAAACAAGATAGCCTCGCCCTTCTGCGCCATACGAACCCATTCTGACGCAGGCAAGAACCTCGCCTCGGAAATCTCCACTCCGCCATCACTCGTCGGAACCTGAATCTCCTCTTTTTCACCCTCATGTGGGATCTCATCCAGAACGGGCTTCTCGATCTCCATCGGCAAGGGTAAGAAATACAGGTACATCTGGGTCGTATACCGTCTCGGAAGTCTGATGGGTGTGAGCCAGCGCGTAAATGGTATCAGTCCTTCCGTATCTGGTACTGCTGCGGGATGCTGCTCCTTTAACCATTGCACAAATGTCATCTTATTCTGATGAATCGCGCGACGACCGGCTTCGCGCTGCTCCTGTGGCACAGCGATCATCTTGCCTGAGTCACGGTCCTTGGCCAGGAGAATGCCGCTTTCCTCGAATAGTTCTCGGATGGCGGCATTTCGATACCAGGGTCCGTCATCGTGTCGGGAGATATCATGTACCGGTGGGCAAGGCCCGTCCTGGGTGGAGAGGTTCCCTCCCGGAAAGACATGTGCTGATGGGTATGACGTTGATGTCTTGACGCGGTGGAGAAGAAGGACCTCATTATGTGGAGAGATGATGATTACGCTGAAATATAATTAGCCTTGTGTCTACGAGATTCTGACGCTATATAAGAGGTGAAAGCAAGAGAGTGAGTATGGTAGGGATGTATGTCGGGAAAGACGACGAAGCTTGGCATATGACGAACCTGGAACTGGGCCGAGGCTCAGCGGGCGTAGACTTGGATTTTGGGGTCTTTCGAGACGCCATAGTCTGATCTGTTGATGTCTGCTGTGACTTGGAAACAGAAAAATTGCATCGTTGTATAGGATGACCGAAGGTTCTAAGTGGCATCCGGGGCTGCGTAGGTCTAAATGGTAGGTTTGAAACTAACAGCCGGCTACCTCGGGCAACTTGCAGCCGGGGTATGAGGGTTTCACAGGCTATCATCATAGTCCATCCAAAGGAGCGCAGACATTAGTGTCAGCCGATTCCTGTGGTAAGGAGATAGGTGAGGGATTGCAATGAGAGAGAAAGGTTATTGGAGCCCAGGGTACACAGAATCCACAGGCCGCAGATGGCAGAAGCCGACCTGCAGCGTTTCTGCGGCAAGGCTTACTGCGACCCCGCGTTTTCGGCAACAGACCGCCTCTCACTAGTTACTGACCGTATCTACGAGTGACGGATCTACAACTCTGAAAAAAGGAAAAATTATTGTGACAGATAGATTGGTATTGATGACTGTCATTGGAAGTCTAGGATCATGTATAGAATCATTGAAAAAGGCATAATGCATTGAATAACCCTAACCAAGTCGGTGCGTCACCGCAAGTCGAACTCCTGTTCCCCATGCCCGAGCTTTTGTTTTCGTAACAGCCACATATCATCATGTAACAAAACGTATCAACAGAAAGGCTCTTGATATCAATTAAACAAGAAGGAAATAAGCAAAGAAACTTCGGCACTCAAGCTTTTACCGCTTAAGAGTAGAGCTTCTTGTCGTAGCTGTGGAGACCGTGGACGTTACCCTCGGCCATGGCGCTGGCACTTCTCATCTCGAAGCGGACAGTTCCGTTGTTCACACCCTCGTGGAGAGCCTTGAGACTGGGAACACCGATATCCTGCAGGGAGTGCTGGACACCCGCAACGAGGTAGGGAACGAACTTGGTGACGGAGCCACGATCAAGAACGGAACCAGCGACACCCTGAGCAACCAGGACACCGTCCTTCTCGGAGAAGTAACGGGCAGTACCAGCGTTGCTGGCCTTGCTGTCCTTGGAGCCAGCGCCAGCCTTCTTGTCCTCCATGGCGGCGATACTGCCCATACCACGGTAGGACTTGACAAGCTGACCCTCCTTGCTCATGAAGTACTCGCCAGGAGACTCGGTGGTACCGGCAAGGAGACCTCCCATCATGACAGTGGAGGCACCCATAGCCAGACCCTTGACGATGTGACCAACGTTCTGGACACCACCGTCAGCAATGCAAGGAACACCGAAGCGAGCGGCGAAAGCGGTGACGCTGCGGACAGCAATGGCCTGGGGACGGCCAACAGCCATGACCTCCTGGGTGATGCAAGCACTGCCGCTGCCCATGCCAATTCTCAGGCCATCGACACCAGCAGCAATCAGAGCTGCGGCTTGCTCACGAGTAACAACGTTACCACCGATAACGTCGATCTCGGGGAAGTTCTGCTTGATCCACTTGATCATCTCAATCTGGTACATGCTGTTACCCTGGCTGCTGTCCAGGATAACGATGTCGAGACCAGCATCAACGAGGAGCTTGAGTCTGGTCTTGTCCTGCTCACGGGTACCAATGGCAGCAGCGGCGATGAGCTGCTTGGACTGGGGGAGCTTGGAGGCAAGGGGGTAGTGGAGGTTCTTCATCAAATCGCTGCGGGACAGCAGGGAGACAAGGTGGCCGTTCTCGTCAACAATGGGGAGCTTGCCCTTCTTGGAGGAACGGAGGACCTCGTTAGCCTCGGCGAGGGTGGTGCCAGCGGGGGCAGTGATGAGGTCAGTGGACATGATGGCGGTGACGGAGTCATCAAGGTCGCGGTGGAACTGGATGTCACGGGAAGTGACAATACCAACAAGCTTGGAGCGGAGGGTTCCGTTCTCTGTTCAAACAAATGCTGTTAGAATCAAGTCTGACTCGAACCAGAAAAGAAGAACATGATGTTATGATGAAACACAAGGGTCAGATAAAATCTGTTTCTCTACAGTGCTGCTCTCGCTGCTCCAGTGGAACGAAAGTTATAATAGAAAAGAGGATAATCATCACTGTGAATGGGAAAACTGGAAGGAAGATAATAACAGTAAAAACTTACCAGTAACAGGGAAGCCACCGAAGCCCCACTTGGCCTTCAGCTCCTTGGCCTCGCGGACAGTGGCCTTGGGAGAAAGGACAACGGGGTCGGAGATGAAACCGTTCTCGTATCTCTTGACCTTGCGGACCATCTCGGCCTGCTCCTCAGGAGCGCAGTTGTGGTGGATAACACCCAGACCACCCAGCAGAGCCATGTGGATGGCCATGTTGTGCTCGGTAACGGTATCCATGGGAGAGGACAGAAGGGGAACCTTCAGAGAGACACGCTTGGTGACGGGAGTGTCCAGAGTGACATCGGAGGCAGGGAAGCCTGTGATGGGGCGTATAAGCAACCGAGCACGAACAAGAATCACCAGAAACTCAAGGTGTTCGTCTTACCGATGTATCCGGGCAAGATCAGGAAGTCGTTGTAGGTCAACGCTCCGTGCTTGTCCGAGTCAAGCAGAGTGTCAACGTCCAGACCATCCTGAGTAGTGTAGGTCTTCAGGACCTCCAGGGCCTTGGTGTGGTCCTGGATCTCAGCCTGCATGGCGCGGCCAAGAGAGTCACCGTTGGAGATAGGCATGGTGAAGACTCTACCGGTTCTATCGTAACTCGTCAAAAAGAATGATAAGAGTCAAGAATAGAAAAAATAATCAACAGATCGACGATAGAAACGTTCTGTTGATGGAGAAAGTCTTCCTTTCCCAAAGAAAAGAAAGAAAGAAAAAGGAAGAAAAATCGGAGGAGAAAAAAATTGGCTTTTGACTTCTGCCGCACACGCTAGCGATCCCTGCAGAATTCATGCCGCAACGGGTATGGTTCGCCTTCCCGCTGGCTGTTTGGAGCTGTGATTGGCTGCTAAACGAAATCAGGCCAGGCGGTGAGTGAGGAGGGGGTGACATTGAAAGAACCAAATTATTCCATCCTGACTGATGGTTAATAATAGTTCTGCTGAAAATTTTTGCAGTCCCGCTTATCAATTTTTTTAAGGAACCGTCGCGGGGTTCGGGGTTAAACTTCCCATGGAGTGATGCCTAATCGCTGCTTGCGGCAATTGCAATGACTTGGATACTTAGCAGTACTGTTACTGACTACATAGTAGTCATGTGAGGGGTTGCTTTTCACGATATATTCCATATGAAGTTCCCTCCTCTATCAACTCCGTATTTTCTCTATTTTCCACTTCGCGCATACGCCAAGATGGGGTTAGTGGCTACTAGTCTCGTTGATAAGATAAATAAGATGCCCACGGTCTTGTCTTGAATGCGTGTAACGATACA